CAGGAATAAGTAGGTATAATATTCATGATAAATTCTATGTAAAACAGAAACAAAAGTAGGGTTAAAGAATTCTATTAAACAAGCAATTCTTAATAGACTTAAACTGTTTGACTCAACGATTTCCGTTACTATATTTTATTTATTCTAATTATCTCTATGCGTTGCAATCAAGTGTTTTATTTAAATTAAATTCACAGACACTTCATACAATTTAACTACAGAAAGTGTTAACTTGATTGATATTATTGAGCAATGTAGATTTAAAATCCTTAAAAATTATTATCATTAATTAAGTAACATCAGCGAAGACTTATTTCAATGAGGGTTGAAACAACTTAAAATTGATCCACATTTAAATTTAGCTAGACGATTTCTCATTGCTTACTTATCTATATTTATACAGTATTTTATATTTCCTGATTACTCATGATTGTTTCATGCCATATTTATCAATACTCTTGTAGATTACAACCCGTAATTGCTTTTCATTCATAATATAACATAATCACTTTTGAAATCATTGCCATTCATTTGTGTGATTTATAGACTTAAATTGATTGCTTATTATAGTTCATATACACTTATATATGTCAGCATCAAATTTATGTTTCACTCCGGCTTTAAAATTGTAGTTTCCTCCCGTAAAATGACTTATTAGAACCTTACTACATGTATTTTATATTTCGATAAATGATAATTAGATGATACTAGAGAATGAAAAAATGAAAGCTGGTATTATAATTGTTTAATTTCTCATAATTTTATTCTAATTCCTTTAATATTAACAAGAAGTAATGCTAACCATATGCAATATTTACATGCATACTTTAAACAATCATTGCAGGCGAAAAGTGATAGAACTGCAGGAGAAGGTAAATCAACAGATAACTTACTATCACAGTTTGTGCCAATGTAACCAGGGCTACACTGACATTGATAACTATTCACTCTATCTACACAAGTTGCTCCATTTTTACAAGGGTTAGATGCACACTCGTTTATATCTGTAAGAAAATGCTAATTATAACAAAACTCAATGTTGTAAATAATTTTCAACATTTACAATATATATTTGTTTTTCAGAAAACAAAAACAAATGTTTAATATCATCAATGAACAGTATTTATTCAGGCCAAACACAATGTTGTTAAAATGGCATCATTTCAAACCGATAAGAGCAGCACATGCTTTTAAAGGCTAACTAACATATAAGCCCATGACGATGAAATTCGTTATTGTAAGAGGTCATATAATAAATGTTCCAATATTTTAAACTTCAGATTGGTATGAAAGAAAATGAAAATGTTAATGTTTGCTGAAGGTCAGTTTCATAAATAGGCCTCTTGATAAGGCATAAAATTGTTTGAAAGATTAATGTTACAAAATGTTATCAATCAAATTTTTGAAATGAAAAATGAATGAATTAATTTATATGACTTAATATCATTTCTATATACATGTAGTTGTAATAATGAATTTGGCTTATCTTTTTCTCGTATTCTCGATATCTTATTAGACTGATAATATAAAGTACTTAAACAATCATACGTGTAAAACGTTTTATGTACCTATCTCGCACACTGTACCAATGTATCCGGGCTGACATTTACAAACAGCGTCTGATATATGTTCTGCTACACAACTACCACCATTTAAACAATGTAGTTTCTGACATGGTCCAAAACCTAATGTATACGGAAGCATTGGATTAATTTACGAGCTTTATAAGCATTGATTATAAGAAAGTCACGTTTAACAAAACTCATTTTTTAAGAATATCTTTTTGATTAACCCTTTACTTCATGCAGACGTGGTTTGACGGCTTTTCGACCCCCTTTTGAGGCCTCAAACAGTTAAAAATTACCCTATTTATGTCTCAAACACTGTTTTTCGTTTATTAAATGTGATCACTTTTTCGTCGCTGCCCGTATCAAAAAGGTACACCAGGGGGTTGCCAGAAGGCAGATGAACCCCCTTCTGTTTTGGGGGGTTTGAAGGGGAGCAGCAGCCCCCCCTCATCGCCAAGAAAATTTTGGACATGTGATAGGCTAAAAATAGCATCAGGTCAATCGTAAGGTAACGTGTAACCAACACTGAAAATCCTTCTACTCCATCTCGTTACAGCACTTTAAGATCAGTTTTGATGGATAAAACAATGCAAAATAGTGATTTTTGGCAATTTTGAGACGTCCCCCCGTTGTCATGGTAACAGGAAATTTAAGATTGAACATGTCTGTTACAGAGGCTATGGTCCAGTTAACAATTGTGCCAAGTTTCATCAGTATTGAAGCATTTTTATAGTTTCAAAGCATAAACAAGAGGCTTTTCAATGAAAACGGCATTTTTTCACAATGGACCTATCCGGTATTTCGTAGCGGAACATTAAGCCTCACCTTTTCCATTCATTGCTAGGTCAGCTGCTCACAAACAGTATCACAAACATAACCATGTGTTATTTTGTGCAAACCAGGTCAACCAGTGACTATGTATTATCTCAGTGTAGCAATTGGATAACAAGTTAGCCAATTTACATAAAATTGTAAACACTGGAAAGGTCCATACACTTCATGAGGTAAAGGGTTAAAAGGTTTCATAAAGTCGTTAACACTCCTAATTACTTTATAGATGTATAGCTTACTTGATACATTTTTCACTTCTACTTTCATGTGGTTTTGTTGCCCACCGGATCTGAAATGGAAAATATTTAGAGATTTAAGTTATTCATTTATAAAATCTTTTGTTTAACTAAAATCACTGTTCAAATTGCAGCCATAAATCAAATCTATGGCATTTAGGATAATAAAAAATTAAAATCAAAATCTTAAATGAAAGTATTAGGGTAAGTTATTACGAACTAAAATATGACTTTCTGACACGGATGCGCAAAAAGTCAATTGTTTTGTCATTCTACAGGACAGCCCGAAAGCAGGACAGTATAACAGATGATGACAGGCAGGGGTATATCTGTACACTTCTTCCTGAAATGTGTAAATAAATGACTTATAAAAAAGTATATAAAATATATTTACCCTGCAGAAGTACACAAGTCAAGCGTGTCTGGATTTTCTGTCTTGATAGCTAAATCCGTCATGCACAAATTATCAACTGGAGTAGTTTTGAAGAAATGAACACCTGGCACTCCTTCTCCGCACTCTTTGACCTGAGAACTGGTTATATATATTTAAATTATAGCAAAACTTGTTATTTAAATATACCTTAGCAGATATATTTTGACAGTTATAAATACCTATTATGCACCAGGAAGCTTTTATTTCTCAAAAACTCTATATTTTTGGTATTTTGTTATGGTTTCCAATAAGTTACCATTTGGCCAATAACCAGAACCACTGTTGATTTTTGGCATTTAGTACTGTAACAGTGATTTAGTATTTTGTATGGAATTCAAAACACTACTTTGTTTACATTTTGTTATTTTAACGACAGAAAATTTCACATTTAGCGACACATGCTTCATGTGAGAAGTATCTAACATGCTCTAAAAAGATTATTTAAGCGTCAAAAATATCATACAATCTCTTTCTAAAGAACAATTAATTCGTTTTATAAGAATACTATGCCTTTACAGTATCATAGTGAAATACTCTATATTGTGTCTGTTTTTTTTAGACTATACGCCGTTTTGATCCACCAAACTGGCTTTTCTGGATAACTTACAAGTCATTTGCAATTTCTCCACAAGGGACCGGCTAGAAACTTCACATGATTCGGCCCCTTGATACTACACCGATGCTATCCCTATTGAGCTAAGCGGGCGAACATTTCTGAAAAGTACCATGTTGTCGGTGGCCGGGAAGGAATTGCCTATTTTACACCAGTGAATAGTGAATACAATGTAACAAAAACGCATAAAGTTATAGCAACACTCACTTCCTATTACACCACAGTACAAAGCAGTACTATTTGTAAAAGCTGTATATTGAAAAAGATGATTTTATAATCATCAGAATATCGCAACTTTTTCAAGTGACGTTGATATTGATAGCACAAACACGGACACAAGTACACACGCACACCCATAACCCTTAATAAATTTTGTATTCCAAAACTGAACCACCCTACTTTTTAACCTTAACGATCGAAAAAATCAAAAACACCACAATTAAAATTCATGCGGTTATAGTTGACTTGTGCATCATAGAGCGTTGTATAAAAAAAGATTGTATTACATTCTATGAGTGACTATTCAAGTGCAACAGCGCTTTGATTTAATGCAGTAAAACATATCCAAAAAGCTGGGCCACTATTCAACTACAGCAGTTAATTGAAAATACAGGAAGCTTTGTCAATGCATATCAAAGTATTTTCTGATGAAAATGCAATCTAAAAATAAATTCAAATTAATATCAGTTTCATTAAGGTGCTAGAATGAAACTATTTCGAAATCATAACATTACCATTGACCTCCAGGCTGTTGCTCTGTAATAATCTGATTGTGACATATTGTGTTCGGTTTACATAAAACTGTTGAGCCATCAGGAATACTTTTGCTAAAATGTGGCGGTGGCTAAAATAGAGCAAAAGAACATACAAAATCATGACGCACTGATTCAGAATCAATTTTCAAATTCATGTGATAAAGTTTAGATATTCTTTTACAGTTTTTTATTAATAAAACAATAATGCAATTTATGTAATAGCACCATATTTTTAAAACATGTAAATTGTATGAGTGTTTTAAGTTCGTATATATATATATATATATTCAGTTCATATCTACATAATTTAAAAAGTCATCGGATTGCTAGAAAGTACAGTTCAGTAAAGTATAGTCGTACCGTGTTCTGACTAGGATCTGAAATTAAAGATAAAAAATAATTTACTATTAATCTAGTAAAAGTAATGTAATAGTAAAAGTATAGGGACGAGGCAATCATGTTGACATATCATAGTTTTGATATGGTTCATTGAACGCCGCCTTTTCTTATTGATCATGATTACCATATTTTGGGCGACATCAAATGGTCTTACTCTGCATAAAATGACCGCGGCCGTAACAGAAAAAATGATCGTTGCCGTAAGGCCGAGAACATTTTCTGTAGAGAAAAACCCAGACTATGATATTCATGATAATACGTATTTGTTATTTTCCGGTCTGAGTTTTGATATAGTCAAGTGACTCTTGTTTTTTTTTTGTCAACGGTCACGGTAATACATGCACCATATGAACTAAGATAACTCTGCTTTATTTGAAACAACGCATACTTTTTCTAAAGAAGCATGCGTTATCTGAGATATTGCATTGTGTATTATTACGAATAAAGCATGTTAACTGGTGTATAACAGTCTAAGAACATCTAAGAAATATTGCTGCATCATGCAGTAATGATAAAGTAAAACAAGAATGACTATCAAAACTGGAAAAGTTAACACAACTTTATTATTTTATTTGAAAAAAGACAACACAAATAACAACAAAACAGCAACAATAATAATAATAACAACAACAACAACAACAACAGCAGCAGCAGCAACAACAACAACAGAACAACGCAATTATAATGTATGATATATTAATAATAGATCTAAAGAATATATATAATATATGTCAGAGTGAAAAAATACATAGTAAGGAATGGACATGTCTGGCAGCTTACGGATATCAGATTAAAGCTATCAAAAGTATTGACATACAAAACATAAAAAGTGGAACATTATAGTTTGACAAATCTGGAATGCAAGCGAATTTAAAACAATAGGAGAGGAATTACAAACAAGATGTATAATTATAGAAAAACTAATAAGGGTCCTTTTAGCAGGTTAAAATATCTTATATCAAACAGATTTAAACATCATATATAATAACAATCTGAAAATTGGCTAAATAACACCGATTTGGAGTTATGATATGTAAATGGTCTGATATGGTGAAATTTTTACAAATAGGGTTTAAAAAGTCAGCTCAGTTCGATATTTTATTAGTCTAACATCACCAAAAAGGAAAGAAATAAAATCACTAGTGCTGCTTTTTATGTGTAAGTTGTCAATTGTCCTATTTGTCTGTTCTATTTTACATCAAACGTTCGCTTAGGCAAAACACAACAAAAAATAGCTGTTAAAATTTGTTAATATCAATAAAACTGCTTTGATCTATTCACGCCTTAGGAGTAAGTATATGTGTAGTGTAGAAAGAACAGCCGTCTAAAATTTAAGCGGCATTAATTGACAAACAAACGTGACAATAAATGATATTTACCTGAAACGTAAGACTTACCTTTATGTTGTACTGTAATATTCGTGCAAATCTCGTCAATATTCACCCTTGAAATAAAAGACAAATCATAACAACATTACAAAATAACATTAATATTAAAGGATTAGGAAAATCTTAACAAAATGAAATTTGATTTCAGGGTTATTTTGCAACAACATTAACAAAGTAAGCTATGAATTATTGCATATGATTAACAAAAGAAGTATGTTAACAGCAAATAAGTTACAGCATAAATTTGTGCCATAAGTAGTAGCAAATTAGTTACCCTTTATTTGTGCCATTAGTTGTAAAAACTGTAACCCTTTATTTGTGCCATAAGTAGTTGCAGAAAAGTTACCTATTATTTGTGCCATAAGTAGTAGCAAATAAGTTTTCCTTAATTTGTGTCATTAATAGTTGCAAATAAGAAACTCCTTACTTGTGCTAGTAGTTGTTGCAAATAAGTAACTCTTTATTTGTGTCATTAGTTGTTTCAAATAAGGTACCCTTTATTTGTGCCATTAGAAGTGTAGCAAATAAGTTTCCATTTATTTGTGCCATTAGGAGTAGCAAATAAGTTACCCTTTATTTGTGCCATTAGTAGTAGTCTGCTGGCAGAATTTATAGGGACCACCAAGCGGTGCTTTAACACATGTCTGTGAAATGTGTCTTGTAAGATCAGTACTTCCAGTTCCTAGCACACTTTGGTTGGATATACTCAAATCGGAACTCATAAAACCAATCAATGGACTGAAAGATAAAACTTACAAAATGCAAATTTTCACAAAGTAGTACAAAACTATTTGGTGGGAACCGACAGACTCGAGTCGATTTATAAGAAAATATAAAACGTGGATATTCCCTCACACATAAAAGTACAAGCGTAGGCAGTATTCAATCTTCTTCCTTGCATATTTCTTCATATACTACAAATATAGGCAGGATTGAAACTGTTCTTTTTACAACCGTTGAACGGTAGACTATATGAGAAAATGTACTAACAATAATATAAAATATTATCACAAAGCATATATCGCATATTGTTGGGAGTGCAAACATAAATAGGAGATCCTTCACTTCAAGATGAATACAAAATTATTTCAAAAGTATTTTGTACAAATTCTTTGTAATATAATTACGGTTAACAAATGAATAAATAAATACTGAGAATACAATTACCCAAAATTTGCAGCTGTATTAAGCTATAAGTATTTCTACCAAAACAAAGTTTCTCATGGACTTTGACTTTGACATTATTACTATTTTGACATACTATATTGAGAAAGGCAACTGGAAATTTACGCAACACGTTCGCAGGAGCACTTGTCACACGTCACAATATTTTATTGTCATAATAATCAATGTGAAATCCTTTGTCCGTTGTAAACGGTGTAATATAACAAAAATATGAGTAAAATAAATAGCATAAAACGTTTCAAGTTATTTTTAACCTTAATGGTCTTGACATGATGTAATGGAAAACTATCAATGCTATCTTAAATTAAGATGGTATTAATATATGATTTAAACATAAACGATCGTTTGTAAATTACACACCAACAAAGATAGATCGTTTACTCGGTATTTAGTTGGTAGTCACTTTTCTCGTTATCATATTCCCCAGAATGAACAAATGCAACACATAAGTCAAATATTTAATTTCATTTTACATTCACATATATATATATATATATATGCAATATACATGTCATTGAAAAGAAAATTTGTAAAGAAAATCACTTACGGATTATTTTTCATTCCAATATAGGGTGTATTGATACAGCATTCACTATTATCTGCACATTTAACGTCGGTTGGAATAGCACTGTCTATTTCAAAATGTTGAATGCCACTAACTGTACCATTCAAATTCCTGACACCTGGCAAAGTCTTGTCCTTGTCTATTACTGACAAAGAATAAATAAAACCGTATTAAAGTATACATAGTTTAATAATATTTTATTGCTCTTTGAATACAATTTATAACATTATTTCCACAAAACAACATTTTTAACAAAGGGCAAAAGGGTTGAACAACAAGTTCTAGCAACATTAGTAACTGTCCTTACCTTTAGCATTATAAGATATAGAAACGAAAACATGTTTAAACACTATACACATGAGCAATTACAAATATTAAGGCGGAAACAAAAACAAAGTAGCGAATAGAATTCGACATCAAATTTAAGAGAAAAACAAAAAAAAAAACATTTGCTTATCAATTTTTTAAATAAAAAAGTAGTAATTTTCCTGCACTTGCAGTATGTGATGGTTTGTATGGCTGTCAAAATATGTCATTTATAAGGGGAATTAGAAGAATTAATATTGGAACAACGATTGTTATTTTTACATGTACTTATTTCTTATTATTTAAATCTATGGGTATTTTTTATATATTTTTGAACCTCGTGAAATAAAAAAGTAGTACTTGTACTTAATGGATGAAAAGGGCGAGTGGAAGTGAAAAGTTGGAGTCTTTGAACACCAAAAAGTTTACAGTTAAAAAAGAAATGTTCAGCATCCTCCTCGATATGGCAAAACTCACAAACAGGGGAGTTTGCTAAGTGATTTCTATACAGATCATCATTCAAATTACTACATCTATTTCTTAAACGTGCATGGTAAACAGATGTTAACCTTTCTCCAATTAAATAATATTTAGGGACAAGTGTGGGTTTGAATTTATCCTTGAGTTTAGATTTGAACACATTTAAAGAAGTCGAGTCACGTATCTCATTATCAAGACTATTCCATGCCGAAATTGCTGAGGGTATAAATGATCTAGAAAATATTTCTGTTCGTCGTGCTATTGTTACGTAATTATCGTTATTTCTAAGGTTATATTGGCTACTTTCTGATACAAAATTTGGGAACAAAGTGTCCAGATAACTTGGAAGCTCCCCATTTTTAGCTTTATACATTATTGATAATTTTTGCATTAAACGACGATCTGCTAAAGAGACCCAACCTATTTCATGCAGAAGTCTTTCTATAGACACTGAGCGAGTCAAACCAGTTACTAAGCGCGCAGCTTCGTATTGCATTTTTTCAATTTTTTCTTTTTCATATAAGGTACAACTATCCCAAATAACACTAGCATATTCTAATAAAGGCCTCATATAGGAAATATAAATTTGATTTATTGTTGTTCTATTTAATTTGAACTTTAATAAACGCATAGAACCTAATATTTTGGACGCCGAGTTAGTTATATTATTAATATGTTCATGCCAGGTTCCATCATCACTTAAGGTTAACCCCAAATGCCTGTGGTGTTGAGTGTAATTAAGTTGAACATTGTTAAAGTACAAAAAAAGGTCTTTCATTTCTAATAAGAGAACAAAATAATACTTCTGTCTTATTAGGATTTAAAGGTTACAAGCCATTGGTCTGCCCATTCAGTAATAGTTTTAAGATCAATATTTAGAGTCATTTCTATATATTTAGAATCATCGCTTGTTACTGATAAAGAACTATCATCTGCAAAAAGACGAGTCAAACTAAGTAAGTTTTCAGCAATGTCATTAACATAAATCAAAAAAAGAAGAGGACCAAGCACAGATCCTTGAGGGACACCAGCATTTATGAATTTTGTGTCAGAAAAAGAAGAACCAACAAAAACGCTTTGGTTCCTCGACTTAAGATAGCTAGCAATCCAAGTATTCAAATTATTTGTAATGCCGCACTGATGCAATTTAAACAGTAGACCTTTATGCCAAACACGGTCAAATGCTTTAGAGATATCACAGAACACTATACAAGTTGATTTCTTTTCATCAAAAGCTTTACATATTTGATGATAAATGTCAATTAATTGATATACAGTAGAATGCCCTGGAATAAACCCGGATTGATATTTGTAAATAAGATTGTTCATATGTAAATGGTTGTAAATATATTTGAATATAATTCTTTCCATAACTTTTCCTATGCAACTTATTAAAGAAATTGGTCTGTAATTAGAACAAAGATCGTGCTCCCCTTTTTTAAATAATGGCATAACACTTGCGTTTTTCCAACATGTGGGATATGTATTTTCTTGAAGGGAACGATTAAAAAGTGTACATAAAGGTTTACAAATGCTAGAAGATGTTTCTTTAAGCATACGGTGACTTATCCCATCTGGTCCACTAGCCTTTTTTATTATTAAGCATGAAAGAATGTATTTAACTTCTTCTTCGTTAATTATTATGTCACACAAAGATTCGTTTGTTTTAAGATTGAAAATGGGTAAAGAAGTATTAGAATCATCAATAGAAGATACAGAGACAAAGTAATCATTGAGCGCATTTGCCTTTTCTTTATCAGTAAATACATACAAGTCATTATTAAGTCTCAATGGCGGTATTATTTCACATTGTTTATTATCTTTAACTAACATTTTCACAATTTTCCAATATTCGCGAGGATTATTACTACTTATATCGTTGATTGTAAATTCTAAATTATTAAAAAAAACTTGTTTCGCGTGCTTTTTTAAATTATTAACCTTGTTTCTTAATTTTTTATATAAAATCCAGTCTAACGATTTATTAGTTTTAATTGCACGTGATTTTTGTCTGTCACGCTTCCGGGAAGTTCTTCGTATTATTGAATCGTACCATGGTCTGTCGTATGGTCGTATTGTAACTTCTTTATATGGAATGCATCGTTTTGTCAAATCTAAAAATGAAGAAGTAAATAAATCGGAAGCCTCGTCTACAGTGCCATTAGATAATATTGACCAATTATATGAAGTTATCAATTCATTTAACCGAACAAAGTCCGCATTATTATAATTCCAGACACAACGCTTATAAGTATTAAAAGAAAGCGCTTCAAAATGAATAAAAATATAACTAGCATAATGATCACTAATGTCGCTCGGAGTTTCTGAAACACCAAAGTCAAATGATTTTATTTCACTAGAAATTACTATTGGGTCAATAAGTGTGGCAGATGTATTTGATACACGAGTCGGCTGATTGATAACATTACTCATATTATTAATAATTAAGATATCACGTAATTTATGGTTTGAATAATTGAGTTGATCTTCATTTACATCACCAAGTAAAACAATGTAATTCGACAATTCATGCGCCTTTTCTAAACAGTTATCCAGTTTTGACCAAAACTCAACAGTAGAATTTGGGTGGCGATAAACAGTGCCTATCAAAATGTTCTTCTCCTTATCTTTAACATTAATCCATATTGATTCATCAGAATACATTTCTAATTCAAAAACTCTTTTTGTTACCAATTTATCTGACGTATAAATAATTATCCCCCCTGAATGGGCAGTGTTATCCTTCCTATATAAACATCTATATCCATCCAAAAATATTTGATCGTCTTTAATTGTATTAGTTAAGTGAGTTTCTGTAAAACATAAAATTTCGAAGTCATTGAAATTATCTTTTATGAAATCAATTTTGTTTCTTATACTTCTAATATTTTGATGAATAATTGAAAGACATGCGTCATTTTGATTGTTAGGACCCGGGTTAGTTTCTATGTCACCTGATAACAATAATAATAGTTCTTTTATAGAAAAAAGAGCCTGAGAACCTATAAAGTAAAATAATCGTAAACATTCTGTAATGTTTTGGGATTTTTTTTTGAGGTTATTATTGCAAAGAAGAATAAAAATGTTGATAAAAAATATAAATTTAAGCAAACAAAAACCCAGAGTACAAAAAATACTTCTAACATATATTGCTATAAACAAACCAAAAATATAGAAGAGGTGTTTTTGTGGGTATTGTTTAAAACAATATGAATAATGTAAACAATGTGTTCCATTATAATACAATCCTATAGCTGCTCTCCAAGCACCAATACTTATATTACCCATTGGGAAGTAAGAAAACGAAATGCAAGGGAAATGTTATGAGCAGCCATGGATGAATAAAAGAAACTGAAAATGACATTTTAAAACAGAACAGACAAACCATCACAACAAAAATACACGAAAATAAAATAATCATTTGATACTTATTTACATAAAAGAAATATTTGCGAGCAGAGAATTTATAAGCCGACGTCAATTAAAGATATAAATACTTATTTGAACGAACCAAACTTTAGCTATGTTTAGGGATCTATAACATAAATGTTACATTTTTAACAAACACTCTGTACTTGTACTACGTCTACCCATGTTTTATTAATTTTACACAATAGTAAAGTAGAGTAAGACAGTTGAGAAATTCAGTTGATTACTTTGGATTATAAAAAAATGAATTTGGTTATCAATAAGTGAATAAGTGGAAATAAAAAAAATAGAAGATATTATTAAATCGGTGATATTGAAAATATTTTCAGGATATCATTTCAAAAAAATATACTTAGACGTTAGATTGGTGAAAAACGATATTTTTTACAGTGTTTACATAGTTATAAACCAAAAAATAAGAATTTGGATATTCTATAAACTTTAACTGAGATTTAGTGTTCAGTTTATATGACACTTATTAGATTATAATACATATATATACTGTACATATTTACAAATAAACATCATGATGTCATTATCGTTAAAAAAAAGAAAAACAACATCATCATCATCATCAATGAAAAAAAATCTAATCATCACCATACAATACAACAACATCACATGTCTTTATCACATCGTCACATAAGTATATCATAATAATAATTACATCATATCGTGATTATATCATTATCATTACATTTTATGAACACATCTCATCATGATCACATCATCATCGTTTAATCATCAAGATCACATATCATCATCATTACATCACGATCACATCATCATTACATAATCATGATCACATCATCATCATTACATCATCATGATCACATCATCATCTTCATCATTGTCATATTTTCATTACATCACAATCATATTAACATTGTGACATCATCATTACATTATTATCATTACATCATTACAATATCATAATTTTATCATCACATGATTATATCATCATTATCAGTAATGCCATTTAGTCTTTAAATATATACATGTATTCTATATGATCACCAACAGATCATCATTATCACATCAATAATATTACATCAACTTTAAAATATCATCATCTGATTTATATTTCATGAATATCACTTAATCATCATCATCATCATCATCATCACCATCAATAGCATCATCTTGTGTTAATCATTATTTCTATCAGCAAAATAATTTTTAATATGATATCATTATCACTTAATCACATCATTATTTTCACAAAATCTCATTGTATCAATATCACAACATCTTAAATAACTTCATTAAGTGAGGGGAAAAAATTATAGACTACAGAATTAATTGCTTATATAAAACAAATGAACAAACAATTAACTAGTTATGAATTAAGTGAAAGGTCACTACTTTATAAATGTGTTTAAATATAAATGGATGTATTTTACATTCATTTGAAAACATTTATTGAGGAAGATTCTTCCAGGGATCTTCTGTCATTTCAGTCAGTGGATCTGGAAGGAGATGTTCAATTTCATCAATGGTATTGATCATTTTCTTCAAACCTTTTTGAGAACTGTTAGATTTTTCTTTGTAGCAGATCTTCCCATCAGTTGTCCAGAAGGATTCTATTTTGTCATTTTTTCTAGCTATGTTCAATTGTTGGACAATGAATTGCCTCTTTTTAGTGAGATCTTCAGTAATGAAGACATTAAAGTATACAAATGTAAGTTTCTTCTTTACTGATGTAAATTAAAGTTAAAATTAAAAAAAGTATTGTATGATGACCTCAGCGATCTGACAAAAGATTTGACTGACTGATCCTTAACTTTTTTATCAGTCCAAAAGGTGCTTAAGGTAGTCTAACTGCAATGTTTTCCCGCCAAAAATCTTAACATCGGCCAATATCGTAGCAAATCGGTTATTTCCGGAACGTCACTTCCGCAATCTTGTGCACTAGATTATTTACAATCACTCATCTTTTAAGTTGCCCCGTACTTCACTTCAGTGTTGTTATATTTTTCTGGTCCTTCGGGATCATTGATGCCAGCACTATTAAGTGTTGAGAATTGAGTACCGCTCAAGCCGGTGCTAGGGGATGTGAGGGATGTTGCACTTATTCATTATTCCTCATGTACAGACTCAATCAAACTGAGTCTGCAATTGTTATGTAATTTTGTTGTGATTAATGCTTCCGAAGGATCACTTTGTTTCCAGATTTTTATCGATATGTATTAAATTCCGATTTTAAACGGTTGAAAATTATTGAATACTAAAGATTGTGATAAAATAAAGTTCCGGAAATGAAGATTAATAATATATTGGCTAATGTTAGAACAATTATTGTTAATACAGAGCCAAGTAAATATTTCTTTTACGCTGTTTCTTTTTTTCTGTTGACATGAGACAACAATCACAGTTCTATCTTATGTTTCTACAACTTCACAAAACTGCTATTTCACCTTGCATCTGTGTATATTGGTTTGCCGATCTGACATGATCAACAAGAAAGCTTTATAAAAATGGCAACATTTTTTTTTCTAAATAGCATATAGAATTATTTGTTGCACACAACTTTAAGATGTAAAACTGAATAGAAATATATTATATTTACCATGTTCACAATTTTTGCCTGTGAATCCAGCAGATGTACAAATACACGTGTAAGTTGCTGGCATCTTCCTTAAATCCGCCATACATTTTCCGCTGTGTTGACAAGTGATTCCACGACATGGTGATATAACTACAAAGAAGATTTCAGACATCAATAGCATCACTAAAAGTATTGATCGTTCATATTTATGTTCAAGATATATGCGATGATAATGATCATTATAAACAAACATGTCAAAATTTAAATAATTAAATATGATTACCTTCCTTGTTCATGTCAGTGACTACTTTAACAGTGTAACATCTACGTTCACCCTTTTTCCTGGACGTATAAAAATTATTTTTTTAAGTCATTGTCAAAAACACCGCTTATTGCTTACATCAGGAGCGTTAATCAAATGCGGTATACTATCTACTTTTTTTTTACAGTATATAAAATGCAGGTGTTGTTTAAAATTTCTTAATCAGGAAAATTTAACGACTTCAAACAAACTAGCACGATAATTGATCGTTTAGTTATATCAGTAAATACACTCAAATTATCATCACTACCGTAACGACAGATATATCATTTAACAAAATAGTAACGTTAAAATATTTAAATGACAGAAATTAAATGTTTGTTACCCTGGTAAAGATACTTGTAGACATAGTTGGTGCGGACCGTCTGCTTGTGGTGGAACATACGTGACATCTCCAGTACACACCGTACTGTTCTCTCTCTTTACTTTAAATATATGTACACCTTCGACAGGACTTGTACTCCTCTCAGTGAGAGATGGACTAAAAGTTGATGAAAACAACACAATAATACATATACATGCAATGCAGTAAACTGAATATTAAAATTGATGTGTATTAGTCAAGAAAAATTGAGAACTAGATTTCTCCATTTTTTAGAATATAAACTTGTATATTACCATACTCCAGTAAATCCAGCAAACATATCTCCAGATGTAAAATGCATGTCGAAGTGACAAGCCTTTTTGATTCCACACATCACAGTAGCTTCAGTTGATAGTGTAGGCGGAAGAAAGTAGGGCTTGGTCTGCGAAAAGGAAAAGAAATCAAACAAACAATAATGAGTTTACTACTTTTAACAATCGTTAATTCATCATATCTTAAAATTCTGTCAGAAACTTTACTCAAGAATTAAACTTGAAAAATATTGATTGTTACAGAGATGTATATAACCTTATCTATGTCTCTGATTGTTGATATTAATCAAAATATTGTTTTCATATTTTTCTGGTCCTTCGGGATCATTTATGCCAGCACTATTAAGTGTTGAGAATTGAGTACCGCTCAACCTGGTGCTAGGGGCGTGAGGGATTTTGCACTGATTCAGTATCCCTCATGTACAGACTCATTCAAACCGACTCTGCAATTTTCATGTAATTTTGTTTTGATTAATGCTTCAGAGGGATCACTTTGTTTTCAGATTTTATTATTAAAAATCATGTTTGAACTAATTTTTCATCAATATTCAAATCATAATATAAAACAATGCTTCATACGCAAACAAAACAAAAGAACTAATGTTTACCTTGTCCGTTTTGTCCACAGCTGTACCTAAAAGAGAAACCAATTCTGTTATTCAAGAAAGGTAAATTAAATGTTAATTTACTTTAATTGAATTTTTTCAAAAGAGACATTTTCGATTTTTTTACTACATGCATATTGTAAATGTTAAATATAGATTATAATATGTTATTTTCTTATGATAATTGACATCGGTTTTGGAAGTGAAAAGAATTTATCATTATTTTAAATACACCGAACTGCAAAATAAACGCAAAGGTTATGGAAAATTACTGCTTCATTTTTGAATGTCCGCTGTAAATAGATTTAATCAAAACTATTTTGATGCACGTTATAAATATGCAAATAAAATTCATTGAAATCATCGTGCCGTTATATCTGACAACTAAAATATGAAAAAAAGTTAATGTCCTTGAATGATCGTCTTCATAGTCAGACCTAGCACCGAAGGGGAATGTCTAGGCAAAGTTCAAAACAAGGGAATGCACGTCAAACATCATTAAACAACGTTTAATATTTACTGCAGGGACTTATCTAACATTGGTACAATATTCCTCAGAACAACATTGTTCCATTAAACATAGAAACATATATGACATGCTTGTATTCATACACGTAATATTGGCAATATGTAATCAAAGCACAGAAGGCGCTGAATTTGTTTGGGTCTCAGAATGTCAGAAAGGTGAAGGTTGTGAGATTATAAACCAATTTGTTTTTGTATAGTGCTACCAATGCTTTCCAGTATTTTATTGTTTGGTTTTATTAACCTGTCAATTCCATACTAATTACACGGTCAATGCACACAATATATTAATCTTCGAAAGATTTTCGGTAATTTCCGTGAGATGTACTCAGTGAGATTTGATTAAATATAGTTTGTGCATATGGAGCAATTATACTGAGCGGTATAGCGGAATAGGGTAAGCTACATATTAATGATTTCTTAGTGTCCTACGTGTTGTGAGATCTAGACCGCGTACCTCCAATGTTTTTTTTTGTTTTTTTCTTCTTCTTCTTCTTCTTATAATTATTTTCAACATTATCGGAACTATAATTGCTTGTTTTGTTGTTCGTTTTGATTTAATATGTTTAGCAATTAAACTCCTTATAAATAACATGCTTTCAGAATTAAAATTTATAATGAATTCGGATTAAAATTAGAAAATGTCGTTTCAATGGCGTTGAACACAATACAAATTGAGACAATGTTTCTTAGTTGATTCATATATGTGTAGACAATATTGGAAGCACTCGGCCATTTTCATGAAAATATACTGCAGAAATAAAGAAAAAGAGCAGGCCTTAAAACAACGGCAAAAGTAGGGATCGAACTACAGACCCCTAATATATTACACAATCACTCTACTGTCTGTGCTATCGCGGATTTGACATGACCTATGCATTAAGCTGGTGTGACTTTTCAAAACATTAGTTATTTACTCCATATTAATTCTCGTAAACTACACGGACAGAACCGAAGTGAAATCGAATATTTAAATGAGTGCTATAATGTATTCAAAATTGACAGGTCAATAAAATCAGACTATAACTGTAGTAAATTGGCTATAAGACTAATTGCAACACTGATAGTCAATTCAATATTTATTTGACTTAAAAAAATGAGTTGCCTCAACTAGGATTTGAACTCGAGACCTATCGATTCATAAGCGAGCGTGCAAACCCCTCGGTCACAATGAAGTTATGTGTTAATGGCCTGAAGAAAACCATATTATTCTAAATTAGGGTTTGTAACTCTTATTATTTCGACGCTTAACACAGATGTAAATAATCATGGAGCTTACTGTAAGCATGTATATAGAAATATATAAAGAATGAAACAATATTAGAAATCTTCGACCATTCGGGAACTACTTTGCTTGAAAATTAATGCGCCTGTCATTTGACAATCTTTACGCATTGATCTCCCCTGAATTTTTCGGCGTTAGTGTACATATAAAGGGAAGTAACCACTGCAAAAAAGTGGACTACTTTAGGCATTTGCAATTAACAGCATTAGGCTCTGAAATTTCGCTACCATTATTTGTTTGGTCTGACGACCCAAACAAATAAAAATTGAACCTATGGGTAATAAGCTTTGACGAATTAAAATGGCGATAATTTGTTTATATATCTTAATTTACATTAAAATAATGCTTATAGTAAATAATGTAGGTAATATATCAATGAAATGAAATAAAGTCGTTCTCGAATTATATGTGTTTCTCCAACCGTTATTTTGAGATTGTTTGAAGGTTCAAAGATTAAATATAATCAGCTACTTACTAATCACTTCAACCTTGACACATATTTCATCTTCAGTTTTGCTAAAAGTTAAAAGAAATACAATTAATATATGAATTGCAGCGGTAAAGACAGACTCACCATGTAGTTTTGACTAAAATAAAATTCAAGATCGTTTTTGTTAAAAATAAACCAAGAAGTTAAATAGTTAAGTAGTAGCTACGAATAACAAGAGATTATCGTATAATTCAAATTCTGTTTATTATTCACAGTGCTCATACCACGATAAAATTAATACGAAAGTCGGTTCGTGTTTTATTTTTTGCCATAACTTTGACAAAATCATTATCTTTTACAGGATAAAGTATACAACCCACTCGCTCATTACATAGTGAGTAGATTTTTCATGTGAAAAGTCAGTTTTGTTTTCATAAAATGAAAACGCTTACGTGTTTGAACATTCAGAAAGAAATTTAACACGATTTCCTTTTACGGCTAAATACAGAAGAAAAATGAAATTTGGATAATTTTGTAAAGGTTTTCGGCTCCACAAATATCACGAATAGCCATGTATGACGGCTGATTAACTACATGTGTGTAATTTCTAACCTGTTGAGAGTTGTCTGCAGACAGAACCTAAAATCTCCTTCCTTATTTGGAATAGACACAACCTTTCCTTGAAATATTGTAGGAGAACTTGTGAGAGGTATAAAGGAAGGTGTCATCACATTCAGCCGTGGATCATGATATCCCAGAGATACACTTGGACTTGATATAAAAATACATACATCACATTTATACAATATCTTTACATAAAGTGATTTATAAAAAATACAGTTGAATTCAAAATGTACTAAGTAACTATCGGTAACTATTAACACATTGTTTTCATACGAGACATCATCCATTCAAAATATTAAAAGATACTAATAAGAGATAGCTTAAACAAGTAATAACTTACGAATGTCCGTTCTTTGAAATAACTTGGAATGGTATATTACATGTCTCGTTGATTACGCACTTAACCTCAGACGGCACTGTAAAATCTCCGATGAAACTCTACAAAGATTTAATGATGTATTTTGTTTTGTAATAATGTAAACAGCCTAAGAATATAATTTCATCCTGAGCCAGGTATGGCTGATTCAGTCATTCAGATCGTTATTTTGATCATGAATCCTTTTTACAGTCATTCGCACTGTATCTCTACTCTAGCTAGAGATTACTCTAGCGTGTGCAGAAGTTATCAGTCCCTCCGTATTCCGGAGTGAAAACTATTAATACCAACACATAAGATCTTTATTTATCATTAAGTAGGAACTTGAGAGGGATAGTTTTGTTCAATTCATTGAAACTTACCGTAGCTTCATCTTTTACATGCATGTAGGTACAATGTCATTAAAATATATATTAAATTTGAGTCATTTTTGTGTTATAGCGAAAATGCCGTTGGTAATAGACTGTTAATGTCAAAACTAGAATTCTGTATTAGATACTTGAAGAGTGATTGTTATGTGGCATTCAAAGCTAGTTTTGCATTACCTGTGTTTGTGATCCCGTCATTGGGCTATCAACTTTTGCTACAAAAGGAATAAAAAATCAAAATGAAGTTTATTTAACATATGCAGTGCAAGTTGTAGAAAATTCACCGTGACAAATTGTAAATGAGATCTGGCATTATTTTAATTTGTTTTATAAGTTAGAGGATTATTTTTTCTGTAACATTCATTCGGATAAAAGACTCTTTACTTCATAATTAACTTGCATATCACATAGCACAAACTAATGTTCGAGTCAAAGAAAGAAAAGATAAACACTGTTTACTTCGATAATTGGAAATATGAAAGTACCTTCATTACATTCTGGCCCAGAAAATCCTTTCGAACAGAAGCAAACGGGATTGTTCATGTCATGTCCATCACAAAAGCCTCCATTTTTGCATTCGAGCGTCTGACATCCTTTCTTAACTTTAAAACAGATGAGTATATGTTAAAATAGTGTATATCCATATTGTTATTATGCCATGACAATGTGGTTGAATTAACTTTTTGAAATTTATTTTTTAAAATTATTTATTCCGAAATACATTTGAGTTGAACAAAACATATCATGTTCAAAGTGTATAGATAAAAAACTGATTAAACGAAATATCTATATGTTTAATTTAATTTTTTTACATGCGAAATTAAACATCCTGTTGTTACATATAAAATGCTCGTACCCTACCATAAAGTTAAAGTATTTACAACACTTCATTTTTTATCATGATAAACAAGTTCAGTATAATGCCTACCAATAGTCGTTTGGTCTTTTACGCTAATATTAAAACAACGTTGCTCGCCATCGACTGTAAGTCTGATATGTAAATAAACACATTTGATTAAAAGAAGAAACGATTACACTATTTCAATTTATGGTTTCAATTTATGCGCTTGCATCGTATAACACAATTGCCTGTTGAAAAGTAAATTATATTTTGTATTGGTACTAAAGAAGGATCAATCTGAATGTAGACCACTGAATCATATTTATCGTATTAAAATTAGTAGGGATGAATTCGTTTTCTTCGATAATATTATACTGTTTGAAAACATATAAATACAGTTTTATACGACATTACCCTTTTAGGCCTACTGACAAACAAATCCTTCGAGTAGTATTTTTGTCCGCAATATTGTTGACTACAGACACATCAACTGTACAGTTACCATTAGTAGGATCGCCACGTTTACACGTATCACATGATGAGAAGAGAAAATAATTCACAAACCCAGCAGGTGGATCTACTTTAAAAGTCACACTGAAAATATTCATATTGAAGCAAGTCTTAGACATAAAATAGATAAATACAGAACCCCTAAAGAAAGCCCAACACGTCAAAATTGAAAATGTTGCAGGCTCAGTTTGATTGAGCCTGTTCATGGACGGTACTGGAAAGTGCAAATTACCGTCCACGCCCCCTAGCACCGGCTAGCCTTCTTTCACATGGGAACAACACGCTGCTTTACATGGAATAGCACATACGTGTCGCATTAAAGTTCGATGATTACTCCCATATGGACACATCCGTAAGTGCTTCCAAATTATAAATGTAACCATTACATGTTAAAATGTTGAATATTGCTTAGAACGTGGACATAGTTTGCATTTACCACTACCGTCTATGAACAAACTCAATTAAACCGAGCTTTTTTCACTGTGTTATAACTGTTTTAATGATGCACACACCAAGCTTGATTAAATATTAACACATCTTATATATTAATGGTTAAATCAAACCTAATAATGGAAAAGCTTATTTTTGCTTGTCAATGATTGTATATATTCTTAAATCATGACTGTGCGATATTTTTGATATCTTTTTGTCAAATAACACGTCAGATCATTTGAATGAAAAAAGTAAACTGAAGTTAAAAACAACAACAAAAAGGAAGTAAAGTGAGTACCATTCCTTTTCATTTCCTGTACCAGGAGTGACATGATAGAGCACATGACACGGGCCACCCGCAATACATTCTACTTCGGCATCTGTGGGCAAACTTGGCTCAACAAAATGAGGTCGATCCTTGCGAACAAAAGATTTGCATTTAATAAAAAAATGTGTCATGTTCAACTAATCATAGTCTAATCTAAACGTTACGATTGAGCAAATCAACATATATTGTATATTTGTATATACAATTTTGATAACAAGCATGTAACGAATCAGTGTAAGAAATACAATTATTTCGTATCGATGTTATTATTAAATGTATGATACATTTTGGAATACAATGATTCGCCTTTCATCTCTACTGTCTTGCTTTTTTTAATTCTTGAAAAGAATAATAATTTAAAAGGAAACGTACCTTAAACGTGTACAAGGAGATGACATCTAAAAATAATGTTAAATCATAATTATTCACATTATTGTAAGAAGTTAAATCAGTTTTGGCGTTAATCATATCTGTTATTTTTTTAAGTTGTATAACAATAATCAGATTAATAATATCTGCCATATATTGCGGTTTCGATCTAAACATCGTCGGTTACCCACAGTATATATTTGGTATATTTCTTTTTTATGTAGTATGTACGGAAATATAACGTGGGCAACTGACAATGAAGAGCACTTTGATACCTATGTTTCTACATATTTTGTTTACATTGACAACTGTACGTTTCTTAGAAAGGGCGACGACCAAGATTAGCGGCGATGTCTAAATGCCGTATTTCGGACATAGGTATTAAAGACGTTAATACTTGGTTGCTGCTCGACATTATGCGATAATGGCCCTCGAGTTTATAATGTCCTTCGGGCCTGCGGCCCTCAGACCACCTTTGCACATCTTCGGGCCATTATCGCATAATGCCGAGCAGCAACCAAGTATTAACCTCTAAATTATACCGGGGTAACTCTTGAAATGAAAAGTACGGTATCCATTTTCGCACGATTACTTAAAAAGGTAACATTTAACTTTAGATAAAGTTTTTTATCATCAACTGTCTGAAAGTTTACAACATACTCTTTTTTATATTTCATGAAGTTATATAAAAAACTGTCTGTTGTATTATTTAGCTTGTTTACACTGAGGACTTGAGGACTAAATACTGTCCCTCCCTCAGAGCAATATCTTAATTTAATCCAATGAGGACAGAAATCACATTTTTTTGTATTTGGTTTGTAATCAAGTGAAAAAGTCCTACAGTAAATTTGTTACACCATTTTTTTAAATGTAAAAGCAAGAAAATATTCGATTTTTAAAATGTAAATTGATGGCCTTTTTGACTTCGCCGGGCCAGTACAATTTCTTACGCGGGAAATGACGTCACAACAGTTCAGCGGACGATCCTCACTTGTCAAAAGTTTTATTGTTAAATATGGGGCAAGATACAAACACATTTTCAATACATAGTGTAAAGCTGTGGATTTTATATTACTTACTGAATTTGTATTGAAATGAAAACATTTCTATTAATTTCCGTCCCAATACAAAAAGCAACATTTCCGATTCCTCGTAATAGTAGAAACAGTGCATAGGTGGCGCTCCGTATGCAAATCAACACATTTTCTGATAACAGCGGAATGGGCAAAGACGCGGTACATGTGGAAAATACTATATGACCTTTCACCCTTATACTTGTGTTCAAGACTTACGTTAACCAATCTTGCGTTAAACTTTGTTCTTCTAGAAATAGAATTAGGGTATCAGAAAATGAATCTAATTCGTTTTTAATACAATTATTTTCTATAAAAATGAAAAATTTCTCACTTGAAACAACCTCGACTTTGGTACAAATCTCGTCTCTGTTTACACTGTCAATAAAATAAGCACTTGAATTATTATTTATTGGCAGCAACTTTTTAAGGCAATGTATAGGGTAAATGAAAAACGTTTACATTAACCGATCTTTTACGTTCGTGTTGAAAAAGTTCATTTATGGGAACGCCCTATGTAGGTCCGCGTTAGCGCCAAAGTTTTGTATAGAGTATAGACAATGAAATTGCAGCAACAGAAATAATTTTCTCAAGCACCATGTAAGAACTCGCTTTGGTACGATAGAAAAAACAACCAAAAAAGTTATACCAGCTATATGCTATAAATTTACATGTTGTATTTTTATAAAGTAATCGTATTTTTCTCCTGCTGACCGTTATATCGTCTCTTTTGGTCTAATATTTTGTGGGCACTGACCGCGTTAAATAAGGTCACGTTATAAACGACGTATATAAATAGGAATTTCTTTCCATACAACGAAGAGTCGAACCAACCGACCATTTATCTACCATGTGGCTTCTGAACACCCCTTTAAACAGGGTTATGACAATCATTTATTTGAATATTCATACCCGTTTATGTCTTTTGTCTGAATGCACAAAACTTTTGAACCCAATTGTGTAGTTTTAAGTCTGATATTAGCTTGATGACTGTTTTGAATTGGTAATCTATCAACAATCTCGATTTCTTCCAATAGCAGTGATGGATCAACATATCCTGCAGACACAGTGGGTCTACAAAAACAAGAAGAAAAAATTAAGAAGACGTTCGTTTTATAAATAGAAATAATGAATTAAATAAGTGAATAATGCATTGTCTTTTAACTACTTACCGTTTTAAAGTGTGATGTGGGAACGAAAGGATATGTAAACTAATCTAGTACTTACATAAACATTTGTACAAGTACTACATGCATTATGAAAGTGTAAACTTTATAAATGATAATCGTTTTATGTTTTAATATGTTTCTATGTCTGTCCAGATATAAAAAAAATAATTTATTACAAACTATTCTGAAATAAATTAAAACTTACGTATGGCTCGAATGATGGCTGACAATCAATGCAAAACTACATTTTTGGTTTAAAACACAGAATATAACCTTTGGTTTGGCTGTGTCAGTAAATCCCTATAAACATGGTAAAAATTATTAACATCAATATTGGACAACAACTACTTTTAAATATCATGATAACACGCGCTATAAAATACATTTAAACAACATCTTTAAAAACGAATATGCCAAGATTTACTAGCTGTTTAAAAATACATTGATAAATAGATATTAAAGAGATATTTCATAACTTACAGCAGACGTGGAGGACAGTCCTGCCGAAGCTGCAATATAAAACAATTAAATAGTATTTATCGGAATCAGAATAAAAAACTTTAATAGTGATTTATTTAACAATATTAAATGATTTCGACCACTAAATCCTATATTTGATGTTTGTTTTAATTATTGAAGGAACATTCTTAAGTGAGAATAAAGTTGTTATATACATTATTATTATTATAATTATTATTAGTATAAAGCTGTTTTCCACGAACTTACCGTTGCTGCAAGTTGGCCCTGAGAACCCAGCCTTACATATACATGTAGTTACACCATTATCTATTTGACAATATGCTTCATTTTGGCAATTATTGGCACTTGTATGGCAGGGTCCTAGTATACAAATTTAAACAGACAAAATCGGTGAAAATTATATTGGAAAATGAATATTGATATAAATGATGTTAATGATTAAATGATTATGGACCGATGTAAAAAGCATACAATTATTGACTAGTGAGCTGTTGAATATGACGTGATATGCACCTGTTAATGTTATATTGACCGAGGTTATAGCCGGAGTCAAAATGACATTTTGCCAGTGAATATCACATTATATTCAATGGATCATTAATCTATTATAATTGTTTTATAATACGACCAGGCTAAGATTACAAAAAAAGAAAGAAAGAAAAAAAAAATGCACAAAAATAAGGCCTAATATGAAAACAAGTTGTCAATGTAATTATAATTGCGGTGTAATTTTTATCTATTAAAGGAAGTATATACAATTTTAACAAAGAACAAAATGCAACAATTCTAAATAGTCTATGCTATATGGTCATTGACTATGATTTTTTTCCTATTTTATATCAGTGAAAATGATACTATACCTAGTTAACATTACGCATGCGTAAATCACATTCACTGAGTGAATATGATTTACGCATGCGAAGTAATTGTCTTTGCTCTAAGGTTATTGAAAATTGGTCCGATTTTAAGGTTAGATTGTAAAATTCAATTTCACACAGTGAATATGATACTACACCCATTGAATATGATTTTATGATTTGTTCTTTGACTACTGTTTGAACCAATGACATTGCAGTTATCTTAGAACGTACTGTATACCTAGTTGTTTCAACAGTAAAAACGCCACATTTACACATACATCATTAAATGAACTGTCATACTTGCCTTGCTCGCATTTATCACCGATATATTTGTCTGGACATATACAAGTAAAATTGTCGTGGCCTGCGAGTAAGCATTGTCCTTTGTTCTGGCAAGGTGAAATGGAACACGGATCTATTGAATGCAAGCAGAAAGTTCAACAACATTTGTAATATAGACCTTTTAACAATACACCAATTTCATAGCAATGTGGACGTTATTCCCGTGTGAGCGTTCTGCGTAGGGCAGAAGCAAAACAAATACAATGCGAGAAAGAACAATTTCGTAAGGATTAAGCAATATGACATTCTGACCTAACTAACTGGATAAATTATCAGTATCAGAACTAAATATATTTTGATGCAAAGTTGTATAGAAATATAATTTTGAAAATGTTTGAATTAAATTGATTACAAGACATTTGATTCTGACATGTGAACTTTGATGCATAACTTTTAATCTACACATAAAAAGACGCATTGTGAAAAGGTCTATACAATTGAAGTAAATCATTAATTTCAATATTGAACAACTTACTTTCTTGTGAAAGTATTATCATAGTATAACATATATTTCGCAACCTGAGAATACATAAATTGTCAATTATGAGTATCTAAGTAAGATTGAAGCGTTGAAGGTTGTATTATTGAACTTATTGAAGAAATTGTTAAAAAATAAATCAAAAACAACAACAACAACAACAACAACAACAAAAACCCACATGAATATAGTTATATTCTTACCCGTTATAAAAAAGACAAAATATTGTTTGAACCAGCATTTACCTTTTTTATCAGCGTACACACCTACTGTGTAACATAACTGTTGGTAAAAGGAATAACTGCAAAAAGTATTGTAAAATAAATCAACATTGACATTTTGAAAAATATGCTTATGAATTATAATGAATAGTCAAGACGCATTTGTATTTTATACATATTCAATAAATACTGGTATTTAAATTAATTAATTAGTTGATATTATCACGTGCTCAACGTGTACAGACATACATGTAAATGTTTAGCGGAAGCCTTTTCTCGAATAATCTTTTGCAATAACAAAAAGTCATAATGCATACCCGGATTGAAAACAAATCTGTTTCTCCCCAGTACTATTGTAAACAACAGAAGCTTCTGTAACGCATGATTGTCCACGTGGATGTGCGTTGTATACTGTCACTTCGTCAGTTGATGAGATTACATCTTCACTATGATTAACAATGATACATATTAAAATGATGTATCATTTATCTTCAAATATATTTTTGCTTACAAACATCACGATACTTGATGTGATTAGCTAAAGAATATTAATTACTTAAGCTTATTATATATCCAAATAAATTTCGATTCAAACACATGAACCTTTAAATTTTTGTAGGTTGAAAAAGAACATAAGTGGCTATATAGAAGACCCAAATCATCTTATAACACATGTAAAATTAAACTCAAAAACCAACATCAAAAAAGGCACAAAAGGCAGGACATAAAGTGATTATATCCATTTATGATAGTAAATAACAACTGCATTAGGAAATCCTAGAACATTTAACGAAATCCTTAAATTATGTATTAGAAAGGGGGTGTTTGGAGGGGCTAGAAATTGGGAAACATAGTCGGAGTCAAATTATATTTGATCGACTATGGTTTCCATCATTTTTAGGCTGTGATGTAAGAAATGTAACAGATATGTATGCAACGTTTTTCAAACATTAATTAACATGTATTACCAGCATGGAGAAGTTAGTTTAGCAGTTTGATTTGTATCGTCTGCATCATTATCTTTATCATCTGTATCACATTGTCCAGGAACAGATCCAACTGACGAAATTTTTGTCTCGCAGGAAGACCTAAAATATAAACATATAAGACATTTTTGCACGAGTATAGCAAATTTGATGCGTTAAATTCCACACAAACGCGTAGGACAATTAATTTAAAGTGAAATGAGAATAGCATTAAGCAAGCATTTTTTCTGGACGATTTTTGCGTGTATTTTTAAAAGAAAACTTGTACTGTATAACGGTCCTTGCTCTAAAAGCATAATGTTAGTTTTGTTTAAATTTAAATAATAAACATACAGTTGATCGTTGTTATTATATATTGAATTCCAAATCATTTAAAAAACTATAACGTATAAAAACGAATTGTATAAGGTGGCATCTTTTGGCTACCGTAGATTTCATTTTTATTTCCCCAATTTCGATGTGGCCCTATTATTGAAACATTTATTGTCCAACAATATTGCCCTGGCACTCTTGCATTTGACTCTGTAGTCGGTATATTCCGTAAACGTTCCGATCTGAGTGCAAATCGATATGAATGTAAATATCCAATTGTAAAAATGGTATCAAGTAAAAATCCCTCTTAGCGCAGTTGGTAAAGGGGTTTCTATTGAAGAATGAGGACGTAAACTAGTAGGTTCGAATCCTATATTTCAGCAACTGATTTTCTTCTATTTTGTTTTAGTTTTAACATTGCCATTCTCTTAAAACTATTGCAAACCTTTTATTTGCGTGTACTATCATTGTTGTATTTCAATAACGACTGCATACTATCACAAAGAGAACCGCTGAATGTACTAATATAACTGTGTATAAAAACTTCATTTAAAAGTTATTCTTAAACCATGTGAAGTAGAACAATTTCAAATAAAATCTTGCAAGTAAATTAAAAAGAAAATAGAAAATTATCGCTGTGTTGATAAGGAATCGAACCAGAGACCATCAGATAGGTAGTCCGACATCTATACCAATACACCACACCTCACTGACGAATGTAGTTAGCAAATATATCGATATGTTCGATAGATACTGGCCACTGTTTATTCAAATGACCTTTACGAAAGTTAATGAAGTGCCAGGTCAATGTTTTTTAACACATGGCATTATACAGGATGTTACGTGATCGAGTTCGGTCAGTGAAAATATGATAGTCAATCATTTTAAATGTAAAGCCAATTCACTTCCACTCGACTGCAAACAATGAGCAAAATGTCAAAAAACACAAATATAAATTTGTATCATTTTTTCTCCGGATACTTTTCCGTATTGATTTCATTTTCCTTAGCGTGACTAAGCCTGGTGACTGGGTCTTAAATTATAAAATGTCCAGAAGTTATCAAAACAACAATTTCAAACTCTTTCTTAAATCATTCAATAATATACTCGTATATTCCAGGAACCAATATATCTCTCAAAACTATCCTCAACTGATATAAACATAGGTTTAATAGAGCAACAGAACATTTTAATACCAGATATCAGAGATTCCAGTATACCAGTTCATGTAATAGCACGTCTATCTATTAATCTATATAACAAGACACCAAGCTGATTAACTGTATTTTATTCCAAATATTTTAGCATCAGATTCTGAGATTTCTGTCAAATAGTATGTATTTGCGACTTCGTTCTTTTTTTTGAAAGTTGAGTTGAAACTGAAATGGATATTTAAGCATTTAATTATTTATAGTTGCTATATTTCAAGTTTCAGTGGCTAGTATTATGTTTTCGCTATAAAGCAAAATTGATTAGTAATACGTTCAATGAATGCTATCCTTATGTTATCTTTGTTTTTTTGTATTTTAGTGGTGTTCCGCCATGCATTTTGAGAGAGTACCTGTCGGATTAGAATATTTGATTCACGGAGCGCACTCGGAAATCAACTTTTCACGTCAAAGGGTAGAATGGTTATTCTAGCCATGACAACTTGTTTTCACGTTATTTTCATAATGTATATTGTTTAAGAGGTAAAATAATACAGTATATAATACATACACAGGTCTTAATGTTTCTTAAGTATTTAAACGATAGGCAATGTTGACTGATTTTGTGATACGTTTTCGTGGTTTTCATTTGTAGAATTAATATGCTGGAATGTATTCCAAAGGACCAGAAACATATAACATTACAAAACCACAAAACCATCTTTATTTTTTCTCATGGACAGACTCAATCAAACTTTGTCTGCACTTTTAATATAATTTTACTGATTTCATTCCTTCATATGTATGACCACTTTTCTAGATTTAAATACGTCACAACAGCAGCTGTCAAGTTGTCAAGTGCCAAGTTGCAGCTGTAAAATTTTTCCAAATACTTCATATCATTATCTGGATCTTTGAGATCACTGATGTCCGCCTATTTATACTAATTAAGCCGGAACTAGGGAGGGTGAGTGGGGGATATGCCCTATTTCATCAACTGTCATGCACAGGCTCAAGCAAACCTTTGTTTATTAATTATATCATAGTTTGTTGTTTTCATTACTTCCAAGAATCTCCCTTTTCCCTACATTTATACTTCAAAGCATCAGGTTTCATGTGCCGTATTGTAGATATAAAATGTTGTCTTTTACTTCTCTTGAATGTTGTTGTATTTTTCTGGTCCTTGGTGATAATGTATCCCGGTATATGTTGATGAATATTGAATACTGCTCAAACCGGCGCCAAAGGCATAAGGAATGGTGCATTTTTCATTATATGTCATACACAGACTCAATCAAATTAAGTTTGTAATTTTTAATTGTTGTTACTCACTTTACTTTACGACATCGTAGAAATTATATATCAATCTTCCACTCTAGATTTGCTTTAGCTGCGGTTGACAAGGCGGCCAATAACATAATTATCGTATGACATATCCATTTTATAAATGTTTAACAAAATGCATTGATTTTCCATTTTGACGTGTAAAGCTTTATTTAGGAATTCTGTTTTTCTCTATCTTATCAGTACTTTTATCAGTGCTTATTCTGAAACATTTGTTTTTGAAATGTATATTGTAGACAGTCAAATTTTAGTATTTCTAACTTTATAATGGCCATTTCGATGACAGAAAACTCCAAACTTCATATAAGATAATTGATTCCAAAATAACATGAACATCATTACAAAGCTCGCTTCTTTGATAATTTTACTCCTTGTGCTACCAGTATGTTTTATTTGTTTAGACTGATTCATTTGACTTATTGTTTTTACAGCAAATGTAATTAAATATTGTTAAACAGTATGAAAATACGGGCAAAAACCTTTTCTGGTTATATAAAAACGCAAGTGAAAGTTAAGATAAATTTAAAGTTAGGAATTATCAAACTTCATCTGTCAGTACTAACGATTTTTCTGCCCTATATACTTCATTGGCACATAAATATATCAATGATAAGTTATTATTTTTAATGCAAGAGAAAAAAAAACTTTTCTTGCTTGTTATTCAAATAAGGCTTTCACATTAAGCAATATACAATGTGATCCTCTGAGCAATCTAGATTTCATTTGATAATATCTGTATAAAATTGTATGTATTTTAGGCGTGCAATTATGTGGATTTAATTATCACCATTTATATATTACTATATTACTGGTATACTTCTTCAAAAAGGCTATCGCTACTATATATAAGGTACATGGTTTACCAATTTCTAACTTCGTTATTCAGATTTAATTTTAAAATTTGTAAGATATGGTTCATAAAATAGAGAAAGGAAACCCCAAAGGACAGAATCAAAAAGATTGTAGGCTCGTTTTGATTGAGCATGTTCATGGACGTAACTAGAAGGTACAAATAACCGTTCGCGTCCTAAACACCGTCTTAAGCAGAATTCAACATTTAAAAAACGAAAATGATAAAAATTGCATTTGAACTTTATAGGAGCATTGGTCATTGTAGTTTTTCTGCTTTCGTCACCACATTTCTCAAACGTTTTAGAAAAAAAGGCTATGACCCAATTTTTTTTTAGATATTGCAGTATTGATGTATAACACTTTTGCAGTGAGACGCTACGCTTTTTTTCTTTTTTGATTGCATCTAAGGACCAAGTGGAAAACTGTATGATTGACAGTTCTTAAAGGGACACTTAGACAAATTAATGACAAAATATTAAAATGATCTTACGAACCCCAATCACGCTAAAATGACATTTTTTAAAGTCCAAGCATGGACTTCTATATCAATTAAATATAGCGTAAATGTATCTATATGTTTTGAACGAAATTTAGACGTCCACAGAATCACCGAGTATATTGTATGATTGAAACAAGTGTAAGTCATTCATAACCTGACCCACGCGGGTCCAGTTTGAGAACCATCATTTTATTTTTTGAAAGGAAAAAGGGTTTGTTCCTGTGACTGCCTAATGTATTCATTTTGAGGACATTTACGGAATAATAAATGAAAAATTCAAAACGAAGAAATGACAATTTTGCCTATGTCTCCCTTTAAACACCGTCTTGCTTCGTCTAGTCCTTGTATGTGAGTTTTGTGAATGCTGTTAGTTGCAAGCCGGAGTGAATTCGATGAAATTACTTAAATTTACAAATATACTCAAAGACTAAGGTTATAACCTGTCGAAGTGTTAATCCTGATATTAAAACTTCAAACAAAACAATTGAAGTGTGATTTTGCCTTTTGGTGGGTACCGTCCCAAACATCATTTTCAGCAATCAAAACGATTCGTACTAATTTAAGTTAGTGCATATTTTATCTCCTTTTACTAATGCAATCTTAGCAACCTAAATGACCAGATGTCTTATTTTCTAAAATTGTGTTTAAAATACAAAACGTATGTATCCAATAAATAGATCTGTATAGAATTTCGGTAGCTGTAGCAAATTGGGACAAAGCAGCTAACCAATGTAAAATTCTGAAACAGCCGGAAAAAAAAGAACAATTCGCTTGCTTACCATTGCGCACGAAAATACATGTTCCAGTCTTGAGAAGTGTATGTTTATGAAAAATCGAGTTTGGTTCAATTTGGTTATACAGCTTCATAATTTAATCGACTTATTTACAAATAATAAACTCACCGATTTGAAGCAATAGTTGTGTACAACAGAACTTGACATCTCTCCCCAACGCTGCATATGATTCTACTGCCATCTATTAAAGTCGGCTGTTCAAATTTAACTGTTGCCTGCAAAATCATTTATGTTTTATGAAAGATATTGTTTTAATAGTATGAATTTTATATATTATTCTTTTTAAGTTTACAATCTTATTAATACAATTTTACTAAATTGGTTCTGTTTCTGTTTCATGTTTCAATCCTCAATAATTGTTTCAGAGGCGTGGACAACAAATGCATAATATATCTGCTTAAGCGTTATCATCATAGGTAAATAATTATGTGTTTCATTAGGCCATTCATCATTTGACTGCCATTATTCTTTATAAGGAATCCTGGAAGATGCGACGTAAGTGAAACTGAGTGTTATTTTGTAAGGACAGGACAAAAGTGAATTAAATATGCTCATCTTTATCATATAACTTACATTTATTTGGTTGTAAGCTCGGCTTGTTTTGTCGACTTCAGCTAAAATAATAAAACTTTGATCATACACATATTCATCATAAAGTTTGTCATTAAATTAATTAAATTCAACATTTTTAAAGAATTATAATATAAGCTTTTAAATTAGACATACCAACTTACTTAAATGATAAAATACGTGCATTTATACCCGGAAAAAGTGCAATTGTTATAATATTCAGTTATTTTTTATGAAATTTTCGAAATGAATTATTTTATAATAAAGCTTAAAACGCATTATCATTTTATTTTTTTCCTCTAACGTCATAAACAGGATTAGCAGATACCAAATAATCTAAAAAAACATGTACAATCTCGCTCTTATACAAACGCAAAAAGGAATGCAATTTTATAAATGTAAAAAAAGAAAAGAAAAAAGAGTATCGGGCAATGCAGTATTGCCGCCAGGAGTATTATACAGAAAGGTATGTTTTTAAAACGAGCAGGCTCGGTTTGATTGAGCCTGTTCGTGGACTGTTGAAATTGAAATCGTAAATTCGTGAATTCACTAAGTTGAATTCGTGAAATTAAAATCGTGAATTCACGAAGTTAGATTGGGAATTCATGAAGATGAAATCGGGAATTCATGAAGTTGAAATGTCCCCACCGGTCTATCGTAGTTCCGTGATGATATTACTGCGTATCTGAACTCCATACCGTGCTATATTTTAAAACAGATCACTCAAAATGAAGATCTATTTCCTTAATAGAAAGTAATGTGACAAAATATAAGATCATTATTTCAGATAAATTGCGACAACCATGGAATAAGACTATTGAGAAAACTACGAGTTGACAACAACACGATCTGAGTTGACAACAATACGACCCAAAGTACGTTCATTAAACATTGATGAACTTTATGCATATCAAATGATTTTAAACTTACGGTTAGAGAAAATGCTGATTCCGTAGCATGACTTTGAGTTTGACGTTCTGAAATATATACTTTTTCTTACAATACAAGGTATTAACAAAATATGGATTTCAACAGTATATAAAAGGCTATCTGTTTTATCATATTTACTTCTTCATTCTATTATCTGTGTACACCACTTAAGGTAGATCGCCACTTTCCGACCGAAATTTGACAACATCTTAGATCTTGATGATTTTTGGTATACATAAAAATAGATATGTAAGCTTTACTTCTGCAGCATTATTTTACATATAAACAGCGTTACTATTCATACAGCAATATGTGAATCTTATTTTATTTCGCTGAAACTAGTTAATTCATATAAGAATATAACACTTTTCACTCTTTCATTACAAACATCAAAATATAAAATAAAAATTAAAAGATGTTTAATTGAGACTGCGTCCTGCAAATTAGAAACGTATTTACGATTAAACATTGTAAATTTGCTGATCTAGCGCATGCTTTCAATGAGAAAATAATCACCAATTTACAAAATATACATTTCATCAAGTTCCTGTGTTGTTTATACTTACAATCGTAATGTTTGACGTAAGAAAATTGTTATTTGGTACTATTCTTTGAACTCCAACGTTTATTAACGCCACCAAAACCATTACGTTACATTCCTTTTATTTTATTTTAAAACAGTAATAGCAAAATATCTTACGCGTTGACCCTATATTTTTATTGCATCAATATTTTCCTTCACTTTCTCGCTAAACGCTCGAAAAATTATAGCAAAGTTCACCGTGTTGAATTTATTTTATTACACAATCTTTATTGCGATATCGCGCGGTATTTGCATATGGACGTCAGAATGTAGAGACAAATGACGTAGAATCGCAGACTATTAAGCAAATGTTAAAGAAAGATATCATTACAAAAACATACATTTACTGAACACTATAAAATTAAAACGAAGGAAATCGGATGAAAATTGCTAAGAACAGATTGGTTTACTGAGAAAAAGACGCAATTTCGCCGCCACCGATAGAGGGCGCGTTGACGTCATAGTAACCCTGTTTATTTATAAAATAATACTGCAGAAGTAAAGCTTACATATCTATATGTTTGCATACAAAAAATCATCAAGATCTTAGATGTTGTCAAATTTCGGTCGGAAAGTAGCGAGCTACCTTAATTAAAATAACCATCACTCAAGACCACTCATTAAGTTACCTTTCAAATTAATCAAATAAATTTTGATTATTTTGTAGTGATTATTAATTACACGAAAAAAAGTGAAGGTTTACCTTACTTGTTAATTAAATAAATCATTTGTATTTGGAAAACTTACGCATATGTTGCCTTTACACATAAATATTGTTGGTTTGTACTGTTCATTTTTCCATCTATTGTTATATCTACTGAGTTGATAGAGGAAATACCCGGTAGAACTGATGAGTTTTTGACAGAGTCTACTAATATGATATTTTCTAGTTCAACTGTTGTTTCTGTGCTTATCACAGGAAGTGAGCTACGGAATTTAAAAAATAATCAATTTTAAATAGAAAATATATTTTTACAACAAAACTGTATATTTGAAATCTAGCATTGTGCATTGCTGTATACAAGTAATTAATACACAATGAATCATGCATACAAAATAAATAAATTATAGAAATTTGAAAATTAACAATATTATCATCATTTTACGAGGCATAAATTACAGCACATTAAAATAAATTATCATATTTTAAGTATTGAAGTACAAGTCCTAACAAAAATTATTTTGTTCAGTAGTTTAATATGTAACTTATAAAATTTAAAAGGTCGAGAAAGAAATTTGTTGCATTTAGAATGCATAAATTTGGCTTGATTCTGAAAATGTGATTCACAAAGGATGATTTTACTTGAAAAAATTAACTTTCAGAACTGTACATTTAGAGACACAAGTAACAAATCAATCCATAACTAAGCAATAAGTGTAACGTTTCTTGCTCAAGGAAACTTAGGCTTTGGAAATTAATTCTGTCAGGAGAATAATTACAGAAATAAAATGCAGTTATTAAACTAATAAATTAAGAATTTGATCATCATTCTTTAACCTGTCACTTGCTTATTTTACTCTGAAATAACCTAGAAGTTACAATTACCCTGATGTAGCAGCAATATAAAGACGCAAATTGCATTGTGATATATTGCCCTGATGTTCGTAACATATCAACGTGCTTCCATCTTTAGGAGAAGGAGAAATAAACCCGCCATTCTGTGAATGACAAAAAAACGATTTTCGTTGTTATGACATAATAATAGTTTTTCGGAAAGAATTTAAAATGAGAAGAAAATCCGTTCTTACCTGCTTTTGTGTCGTATCAAAAGAACGAAAGCGCTAGTAATAAAGGCATGTATATAATAAATTGGCATGTACAAAATCAAATGTTAAAGGGAGACTAATATCATTGAGATACACATGAAATGACGTTATAAACAAACGATAAATGAATGAGTTTCCTAGATCAAATATTGCTTGTGTTTTGATCATGAATCAAGAAAGTTAGTAAATGATTCATTACATTTACTTAATCTAAAAAAATAATAAGTAAACATATATAGAATGTAATGAATACTTACAGCAGTTGGCGATATATTACATTTTGCTGAAAAATATGAAGATATATGTACCTTATCTTTTTTTCCAAACGAAATCATGTTAGGAGAAACTGAACACCACTAAGAATTTTGGCTTCACTTGCTGAACATCCCGAGATGTCGCCAAGCAAGTGTTATATCCCCGTAACTTACTTGTTTCATATACTATAACTGTTTTATCGCAATGGCATAATGTTTTCTTTTTTGTGATAGAAATGAATGAATAAATAAATAAATAAATAAATAAGTAAATAAATAAATAAATAAATCGTTAGCTACATTACAGTTATTAATGATAAGGCATTTTTTTCAAGTTGTTTTCGCTGCCCCCAAAAAAGATATACAAAAGACACCCAATGTTAGAGACAGATTGGTAAACTGTTACCGATATTGATTCAAGATTAAAGGGTTTTTTCAGTTGAAATAATTCATTGTAAATGAGAGTAAATTTCATTTCATTAATTATCTTTGTTTATATTTTTCATTGTATTTATTTATATATTTTATTTTATTTCATTGATTCCATTTTTTTGCTACTGGGAATGTTCGTTACCACTGCCCCATTGAAGCCTCTGTGAAAAAAAAACTACATTTATATATACAAGGTGTGAAAAAACTCAACAGCTATGTATATGTTAGTGTTCATCCGTGCTGTTTAACTTCGGCGGGAGCGATAGCGACAGGAGGATGTTTCTAATTTCTGTAGAACTGCACGGATGAATACTAACATATTTAGTGTCAAGCTTTATTTGGCCTCATTATCATTTACTTTATTACGTCACTATGCGGTTTTATGAAGTACTATGAAAAATAGAAGTCGACTATGGACGGAATTCGATAAAGTATCGACTTTCGTTCTTCTATGAAAATTAACGCACAGAAAAACATCGTTTTCATTGGATGACAAATAAAGTTGGACACTAAATAGCAGTCGAGTTTTTTTTCCTGTATGAATCAATGAAAAAAACGGAACTGCTATATATCAATACAGTTTTCAAAATTTCATTAAAGTGTACTGAGTATAATGGGTTAGTAAGAACAAAGGAAAAGATACAAACCATGCGATAATTATTCAATAAATCCCATTTTAAGTTTGATTCGTATACTATATAGGTTTAAGGCATCCTAAATTAATAAAAAAAACTTACGTGTTTCGCATTTAAGTCCAGAGTATCCATATGAACAAGTGCAATTACCGCCAACAGAGCAAACGCCTCGCCCATTACAAGGATCTGGTTCACAGTCACCTAAAAAATTACAAATGTATAAGCGATTCCTCAAATATTAAAACATCTTATTTGTTAAATCTCACATTACATTGAATAGCAAAAAGAAATCACCTACTTGTTGGACAATTTATGACTCCGCTTCTCTTTAACGGACATTTATCTGTATAAAAGAAATAAAAAACAAATGAAATTGCTGTCGACACAATATTCTGAAAACAAGTAACGCTTTGTAAATATAGATACTTTGAATTTTTATTATTGAAATAGATGATGTTTACTGGTATAATTGTAATATGATGCATTTCTCAACATTATCAAACTATAAAAAAATTGAACTAAATTTCTCACCAGTAGTACAATTTTCCCCATCATATCGATCATAGCATTCACAAGAATGATTTCCGAGACCATCTATACATCTTCCTTTTCCCTCACATGCATTCTGTGGGCAGTCATTTATATCTATGAAAATATAATAACATAAATAATGTATTTGCATCAACATATGACACAATTCATGCAACTGCATTGCGTGCAAATAAACTTTTTCAGTTGTAACTTTTGGCAAAAGAAATGCATACAATATTAATTTCACCTGCGGTGCTCAGCTTACTTTTGACATCTCTGGGCCATAATCATATAATGACGAGCAACAGCCAAATATTAACCTCTATATATGGGCGGGTGACCTAGGGACGGATATTCCGATCCGAACCGCAAATGGGCGAGGCAACTCGGGACGGATATCCGATCCGAACCGCAAACATATGTCAGATATTTTTTCTTGCAAATTCTACCATATTCCATTATATTTTAAATTCTTTATCTTTATTTTCAATGAAAATTTATATCATTGGAACCGTAACTACTCTTCATTCATAACGGTAAAATGACGTCATCCTTAACGTACCATTGTACAGCACGCGACTCATCTGGAAACCCCAATGCCAGATGAAATTTCCGGTATGGGTAAAACTCACGGAAACGCCAGTCTGATATGCAAGAAACTCGGTTCCAAACACTTTCAGTTATTAAAATTCCACTTGAGTGTTGATTTTAAGAGTGCATTTCGTTAATCACATATAGATTAGCTCTAATTGGGGCTTTGTTTTTACAAACATTTTAATATTTTCGATTTTTATATCTCGTTTGCATACGCTCTTCTGTGTTAAATTTAACGTCGCACAGTCCATAATTTGCTTACAGACCGGCTACCCAGTCCATAATTCTTATAGACTGTTTAAACGTGACTTTCTCAACGTGCGAATTTCACGACAACACAAACAGACGATATTGTCAAACTGTCAAAATGATTAAGCGAATATGAAAAGATGAAAAGACGAGCATGTTTTTTTTGGCTCAATCGCTTGAAAATAATACTAGTAATAAAAAAAATCCGACTAGGATTTGAGATATTTCACACAATAATCAAATACAATTATCATCTGAAAGCAAATAATAGTAAAAATGACAGCAACAAAAGGGATGCAATGATTTAGTTTAAGTATAATATAACAAATAAAGCATGGTCTTTCAGGCAAAATGCAATTTTACGGGCTGCGCTTCGGGCAATATGCCTGAGTCTGACTAACAAGTCCGTAAACTTGCATATTGCCCTCAAGGCCATGTTTTATTTGTTAAATATGAAATTGTAAAACGTTACGCAACAAAGATGACTCTATAAATACTTTTATTTACGCAATGTTTACGCTGCCAATGAATGTTTGACGTCATTTTCTTTACGTGCGTCTGTTTTCCTGGGCATCTGTGTACTTAATATGAATACAATAAAAAAGAAAAATTGTTTTGCATCTTGTGAATGTGTTATGCATTAGATATCGAAACATTAATATCCACATTATACATAGATGTCTATATATCATATTCACTCAAAGCAAACAAATATACGGCTTTAATCGTACTTACTATTTTCACATATTTTCCCAGTAAATCCCGGTTTACAGTAGCAAACTCCCTCAAAACATGAATAAGTGTTATTTGTTACACATGGATCTGGTTTACATGGATCAATTCCTGAAAAGATACCTAGTGTTACCTCAAAAGCTAATACGAATTATGACATCAGTTTCAAAGAGAGTTTGTGAGTTCTTTTATCTACTTGAATAATATTATTTTTTAGATTTTTATATTAAATGCTTTGATAAAAACAACTGGATATTAAAGATTTAAAATGCAAAATGTATCAATATCATTAAAAGAAAAGTTATTTCATATTCTTCTATCATCTAGATTAAGTAGTATTAATTTACCATTGCTCTAAACAATATCTAATTTAATAGAAAGCGTATTGATACATTTGTGTTATAACATTCTGTATTTGCTGTCCATTACATCTGCATAAACAACCACGTTGTATACTACATCGACTCAAAAGATTATAACACAAAGGTGTATATATTCTTACTGTTTTTGCATGTTTTTCCGAATGTTTTTGGTCTACATAGACATCTAAAACCTCCAGTGTCTTTATCTTTCTCACAGGTAGCTGAATTTTTACACGGTGCTGATATACATGGATCTGTATTAGATACGATAAGCATAGTACAAACACAAACTATTATCAGTTGCAAAAGAATAACTGTGATTGAAGCTGTTGATAGGCTGGTACAATAACTAGAAACAATTAAGTATTTTAAAATGGTAATGAAAAATATCGACTTAACTTCTTTGATATTACCAACACACACGAAGTTTATATTTATTCGAAGAGAATCCCACTCATTTAAGATCATTATAAACAAACAACAACAACAACAACAACGAATCCCTATAAACGATCAACGTTATTACATACCTGGTGGTTCAATGTTGCTGGTGATACAAACTTTTTCGCTTTCACCACTGCAACAATAACAAAGGAAACCAAACTATCAGAAGGTCGTAAGTTGTTAAGGTGTTCAACATGTGCAAAGGTTGCAATGTTTTATAATGCGCATTGTAAGTTCATATGGAAAGACTGTCCATAAATATTTTTGCGTGCTCTGCACATGATATTTGCTTTTAAATTAATACGAAATGTCCTATAATAGCTGTTTCAACTATAAAAGTTGTTTGCGATAATTAATCAATTGAATTTTTCTTGCTATGTTGTTTCCAGATTGATTATTTTTTATTTATATTAAACACAATTGAAGATTTTCTATCTACTAACGAAGCAAAGTATTTTGCACATCATGCAAACTGAAATAGATACTTGTCAAACAACATGAATGTGACTAATCGTGTAACCTAGTAGTACCATATGATCAATTAAGTCAAACAACGCAGTATAAATATACCTATTGTATGACTATAACGACTATTTCGGGCTACTTTACTACAACCTTTCACATTCAATTCATTTCTTAAATCTAAAAATTAGAACTGTTAAAATACTTTTCTTTAACAAATTTGATAAGAAAACCATGAACAAGGAAAACCACTTTACAAACTTCCTGTTTCGTGTCGAATGTTTGCAGGCATCAGATGTTTTAAATATATGTAACTTTCATGAAATATATCGAATAATAAATAAAATAAAATATCAATTAAAAGAAAAATGTAAGCATTTTAAAAAATGCATAATTCTAAAAAAGGTTGGCGTTTCACAGTTCATTTAAAAAATCCGATTGAACTCAAGTTAAGCCGGACGAAGTTCCAACGTATGCATTTACAAACCCGAAATGTCCAATAAAACAGGGAAACGCCATTTGAAGTGATGTTTCATCACAACTTTATTTTCTATATTGTATTCATGTTAATTTCATAACGACCATGATTGTTTTATTGAAGTTAAAGAAAAGTAGTGCCCTGTATTTCTGAAAACTTGCATAAAGCAGTGAAGATAAGAGATCTATTGTTTGAAAACAATGTGCAATATAGCATGAATTACAGTATGGATCGGATAAAATTTCAAAGTTTGGAAAAATTCGATGAATTTGATTGAAGGCCATGACCTCGTCATGTTCCGGATTCCTGTGGAAATTTTGAAGCTTACTCGGTCTTGCCTATTGATAACATTTTTGTTTGATATTCCAGACATTTTGATTATATAAAAAAAATTCATTGAATAGATTTTCGTGAGTAAATAAAATGAAAAAGAAATAAGCTATAATGGTGGAACGATGAAATCCCACGATATCCGGTTTACCTTACTATTAGACAAACATAACAACATTTTCAGCTTGATGATGTTCACCATCAGATAAATTTCAAAATAGTATTAAAATTGATTTGATGAAAAAAAGTGTTATTCATTTATGTCAATATGTTTCCTGAGACCTAAAACTTTGCCCATTCGAAGTATCTTGAGAGATATAGAGTTATTTTGTCCCTAACACGTTTTTGGCTCAGGACTAGTCTCAATAATTCGATTGCAAGACCGGCCGATATTATACAGATGTTCGTCTTTTCCAGGGCGACCGTCGAATATATACTACGTAGCACTTGCGCACAATTTGTTGAGCGTGCCCCAGAATAATGTATCTTTACCAAATCGGTCCCTTTTTAAATATTTCAGAATAACTACTACTTATACATGTTTTATATATAAATAATCAAAGCAATTCTAGTAATTAATTTACTAATTGATTCAATGAAAGATTTCAACAAATAATTTAACACGTTCGTGTTAAATGTTGAATTCTGCTTAAAAATGCCGGTGGTTGGGAGCGTGAGACTTTTTCATTATCCCTCACGTACAGACTGATTCAAACCGTGTCTTTTTTAAAGCTTCCGAGGGATCACCCTTTTTGCTGATTTTTATATTTCACAACATCAGCTATCCAGTACCGTTTGGCAGCTGTTAAAAGTTTCTTTGTACTTCACTTCTGTGGTGTTAAATTTTCTTGTCTTTCGGGGTCATTGATTCCAGCACATGATGTGTTGAAAATAGAGTACCGAACAAACTGGTACTAAGGGTGTAAGGATGTTACATTTTTTCATTATCCCATATGTATAGACTCAATCAAATTTAGACTGCACCATTTCATGTAATTTTGTTGTTTCTAATTCTTTCGGGTGATCACCCTTTTCAAGCTAGTTTTAAAAATATTATCAAGGAAAATGTATTTTGGACATTTAAACATTGTTATCATGAAAGTCATTTTAGATAACAGACGCACAAGTCTAGCGCTCCGCATGATAAATGTAAGTGGATGAAAATGAATTTCATGTTATTGTTAAATGCACGATTTTATTTTCTTTCACTGGAGAAAACATGAGGTAGTAATGTTATGTATTAACTTAAATAAATAAAAGCTTGATACAGGCAAGGGAGCAGTCCACCATCAGTAAAATGTCTTATTCCCTTCAGGAGTGTGAATTTACATGTAACTCTTAAACGTATTGTTATCATGAACATTATTTTCTTCCTTTTTCATCATCAAAAAATATGTTAACAGAAACAAGAAAGAAAGGTTTCTATAAAAGGTTTTCTTTTTATGTTTCTACATGATCATTGCTGTTTTTACTTATTTGCCCTTTTGTTACCATAAAAGCTGTTAAATTTTCACCTGGCGGGGATTCATTTCATTTATACTCTCTTGTTTATAGGAACATGGTAGGGCTAAGAGTGATGTTTGATGCACTCAGTACTTATGCTGCTGACTGTTTCAAGGCGCCGCTCCTCTGTGTTCCTCAGATGTATGTCTTTGTTGTTTCATACTATTATTGTGACATTTCTGTGTCCCTTGTTGTTTTTCTGGTCTACGGTAAGTACCCTCTGTCCCTGTTTTTTTAGTTTTGCCCCTCCGCTTCCGCTTCAGGTCCCCTTATCCTGTGCCGTTTTGCTTTGTTGGCCTATTGATCAATCAGTTGTATTTGGTTTCCTTGTCGGTTACTATTGTTTCCTTTTGTATATTGATGGATTGATTGTCCTTTCCGTGCTCTGCCTTGTGCTCTGTCATGTTTTTGTTTGGAGTACTCCTGGGCTTCTTGCCGAGGGTCCTTCTTGCTTTTAGTCGTTTGGGGGTTGCTTTCATTGAACGCTCCCTTTCCTTGTTGATCATGTTTATCATATTTTATAATAAGATGAGATTGGTCATAATTAGTACCTTGTATTGTAGCTTGTACCGAGTGGTAATTATTATGCTAATGCTACAAAATATAATCTGAATATTTTTCAATGTAAATATAAACTTTTTCTCGGGATACATATCCGGACTGATTTGAAAATATTCATACATAATTTTCTTTACCTTATGATTAAACACTTAATCTTAAATGCAAAATACATTCTTCATCTATTTCTAGAAATATTCAAAAATATATATTCCAAGATACAATTTATTCCATTAAAATCATAACGATCCGACTCTCAAAAGAAAATTACCAAACACACTTACAATAACATTCCTTTAACTACTAAAATATATGCCCAAAGATTTAACAGAAATAATAAAACGTCATAAGTGCTAGGTATCTGAGATCTCTGTGCACTTGTATGTATTTCTTAGCCGTTCCCTTCTATACCAAGACATATTCAGACTAACTTAAATATCATAAACTGAAACTTTGTTTGTCCAAGAGGTTGGTAAAGAGAAGGAGAAAATGATATTATAATTTGGTAAATTATCTTATTACAGGGAAGAAATGAATAATTGATATAAGCATATTACAAGGAGGAAGTAAACGATTATTCATGATCTGGTAAGTAATCAAATTACAGGAAAAAAGGGAATGATTAATATTGTAATCTGGTAAACTATTTTTTGTTAAAGGGAAGAAATAAAAGATAATAATAATAATTTGGTAAATTATCTTAATACAGGGAAGGAGTACATGATTAATATTATGATATGACTTAGTCACATTCAATAACTGTAATTTCACTTAGCAAGCATAAAAAATGTATAATAGTAAGGAACTCACTCATTAACATCCTTCGCTTGAAAGCAGATTCTTTCTTGTCCATGCACTGAATGTTCGAACGACAAGTCAGCTTTGTACACTACCTCACCTTTGTGTGTAACAGATTTAATTGGGCCGATTTCATACTTTTCAATGAAACTCTCAGTGACATGTACCTCGGACACACCACTATGAAATTTACATATTTATTAATTTTCATGGATATCGTAGTTTACATTTATTAGTTCAAATGAGTTTTATTTTGTATAACTTTCATTTGTAAAGCATATAAAAACAAGTTTTAAATAATTGCTGAGTTTGCTTATTTGAATCACTAAAACATCACTTGAGTAATAGGCGTTGTTATTACCTGATACCTTATATAAATGTAATTTTGTATTTTTAACTGTTTTCTGAAATTCCAAAAACGTCAACGTTTGCGAACTGTTGACCGGTCAATAATTTCGACTGTTTCCATCGCGTACTCTGACGTCATTGACGTCATAGAGGATTCCCACTTGAAACTTTCATCGATCTCGATCATAAACCAGATGTGACGTGACATAGTTAAAGTTTTAAGTTTGATTATAAACATATGTGCAAAACTATTTCCTTGTTCCTTTTTTCTTCTGCAAGTACTGATAAAACACTAATTGATCAGGTAATAAGACAGTTATTTCATATGTAATTTGAAAACAGTCAAACAGTTGTCCCTCGGTGTCGGGGATAGTGTTTTGAACTGTTTCCCTCGCCCTCGGCCTTGGGCAACAGTTCAAAACACTACCCCCTCACCTCGGACCAACACTTTGACTGTTCCCAAATCACATATGAAATAACTGTATACTGAGATACAATATCCATGTAAGGATTTACACTAAACAAATATGTGATAGAGGACAGCGACGGTAGCATGCATGTTTTTGTACCGTCCATGAACAGACGCAATCAAACAATGCCTGTATTGTTCTAAATTTCGTCATTTTTGGATGTTTGTTAAAGATTCTGTTTTTTTCCTTATTTAATGTTTACTAAGAGTTTAAGCGCACTTACACTCCTGATTTTATATATATAGCCACAACACAAGTTGCGTGAATTTTGCAGGCAACCAGCTGGTCAGGTGACGGAATGTCAATGAAATATGGCTTGTTCTGCAAATGATAAACATAAACGTATATCTTTAAAGTGCATGCCCAGCCAAGAGTTTATAGTGAGTGAACAGGTGAAATTCAAAATAACTGTTCAGTTTCCCAGTTTCTTCCAATTTAATGACTCACACAATAAAAGATAAATAACAAGGCTCTAGGTCATTTCTGTAAATATCCAAATATCCATGGGAACTTATCTGTTATGTTCAATTTATTAAATGAGTGGAGCAGTTTTTTTATTTTTTAAGTATTTTAAATTTTCTACATTCTTTTAAAAACATATGATTAAAGTCAAGTTTTATCCTCGTTGTGTGTAAGCGAAAATTATGAATTACCACTTGACACAAGTAAGTCAAAGATATACTCTTTGGCTCTATAGTTAAGTGCATTGTGTTGTTTCCTTTTTTTAATTAAAGGACATCAACTCGACATCCGCAAATAGCGTATGATTTTTACAGATGAATAACGATTTTTTAAAAATGTTCTTTGACTTCGTATTATAAAAGGATTTCTGACATGAAAAATATAATCGTCCAAGACGGATTTATTAAGTCTAAGAGTGATTTAAAATGGAAATTCTGACAGCTGCACCTGTGATTTCAGTTCTCTGGCTATATCACCCACACCGTTGGTTCATTTGTTCATGATCAAAAGGCGTGGGTTCCAACAATATGTGTTCATTTTCGGATACGATAACATTTTTTGTGTTACGAATTTGAAACTTTCGTTAGAATCATTATTAAAAAATAGAAGGGTTTGATGTATTACATACCTCAGCATATGACGATGAGTGATTGAAAGCATCAGCTGAAAAGTGTATCAGAAATAAATATAGCATAGATAGCATAATTTGGGTTAATTCGGTTTTTTATATGCACGTCATTAAAACTGCTTTTTAGGTATACATAAGTAAGATACGTGAACTAAAATGTACGTTGGGCATATTTAAATCAGTGGCAACAACGCTTAAGTCATTTTCGCACGATTTATACGTGCAATCAAATTTAAGCAGATTATTTAGATACATGTTGTTTTGTATACTGGTTGTAAACATACCTGAGTTACATTGTGATTGGACAGAGGAGCAATGAGCTTATTGCAAAATTCGTGGGTTAATGCGCGTCAGAAATAAAAACGGATGTAGATATAGTTTATGGAGAAACTGCCCTTCCATATCTTACAATTGCCAGGTGGGTGTCAATGTTTCAGGAAGGTAAAACTTATGGTAAGGATTATCCCCACCCTCGGCGGTCCATTTCCGCTACCTCTATCAAAGACATCAGCACTGTCAAAGCCATAGTTGATGAAGATGCAAGATACACCTTAGAGGAGGTAAGTGACATATCGGGACTTAGTGGGTCATAACTGTTTTTTCATCTTTTTCAAGTAAAGTTAAAGTTCAAGATAATATGCGCCCGTTGGATCGCACATTTGCTAACTTCTGCTCAAAGCAGGTAGTAGATTGAAAAATCCTCGGCCTTTTTGACTAGGTTCAAAGATCGAGACTCTATAAGCCTGAGAGTAATTCTCAAAGGGAAAGAAACGTGGCTTTATTTATTTGAGCCCGACAATAAACTCAGTAAAAAAGCGATCGCCTAGTTTTTGCTTGATATAGCAGGAGTGTTAAAAGAGCTATTTACGCTCTATTTTTGACAGTGATGGAATAGTGGCTCTTGTTGCTATGCCTGAGAGGGGTAGTGTCACTTGATCAAGTTACCGTCATTATGTTCTCACTACTGCAGTAAATCGCGACATTACGAAGAGCCCAAGGTCAGCCTTGGTTCAAGTTTATTTAGAGGAGCAGAGAATAGAGATTTCGCTTCATCCCGCTTATAGTTCGGACCTCTCTCCTTGTGACTTTTGGTTCAATCAATACACCGAATCCTGCCTTCGCGGTCGCCGGATCGAAACCCGTAGTGCCATTGGAAGCGCTCTCTACCAGTGTATAAACCCTAAAAACAGTTCAAACATGCTTTTTCAGACTGAATTCCGAGTCTAGAAAGATGTGTAGATGTCCATGGTGAATTTTTGAAGGATAGAAATCTGGAAAAAGAATGATCTCTCGGAAGCATTTATCACAACAATATTACAAGAGAGTTGCAGACTCGGTTTGATTGAGTCTGCACACGAGGGATACTGAATACGTGCAACATCCCTCACGCCCCTAGCACCGGCTTATGCGGTACTTAATTCTCAACACTTCATTGTGCTGGCATCAATGATCCCGAAGGACCAGAAAAATATAACACTGAAGTGAAGTACGGGGCAATTTTTTACAGCTGCCACACAGCACTTGACAACTGCTGTTGTGAAGTATAAAAATCTGGAAACAAAGTGATCCCTCGGAAGGACTCTACTTATCATCTTTCTCAGGTATGACTTATTTATAAAATGCGCTGCCGTTGCCACTAATTAAAATATGCTCCTCGTATTAAAATGAGAAATCTTTGCATAACTAAAAAAAAAAAAAAAAAAAAAAAAAACACAATAAAACAATCAGTTATCGCTAATCATATTGTTTGACGGATTTAACGGCACATTGACACGTAACTGGCCATAATGCGCCGACTTACCTTATTGTATTTAGATGAAAAAATATTATTGTAAAACACTCTACCCGAATCACATTTAAACTTTGATTTTCTATCTCTTTAAAAATCATTTGCAAATTATAGCAAAAATTATTTACTTACGCTGAACATCTAACACGAAACATCTTTGTTCATCAGAATCAACGCTGAAGTATTGCAAAGATGAATATTCCAGTAGATTAATTATAAAATAACGTAGCGTTAAACAATATATATGATATTATTTAATTTTACTCTTGTAATATGGTGCTATATCAGTCAAATATATTTCGTATTTGCTAAAATTAAATTTGAAATAAAAATATGAAAGTTGGCGGAGTAAAAACTCATATTGATTTCAAGCGACTTCTTTCGCCATTTTGTTTTAAAAATGTTAAATAAAAAACAACTTTTATTGAATTTTGTTTTGAAAACTGTCTAGAATGATAGAAAATGGTATAACCTAAATACGAACACGAATATCTTTGATTCTAACACTCACGTGAATTTGTCACTATAGACAAAGAAGGAAAAAACTGAAATGCCAATAAACACTGGTTAGGGACTACTTGTATATGGGGCTGTTATGTTTTCATCCTTCCTTATTTTATCGTGTAAGAATCGAAATAACATCGGCCTGTCGTTTTGTTGCGAAAAAATTAACCACTCAGGCCTACGGCCTTCGTGGTCAATTCTTAGGCATCAAAACTCCAAAGTTGGTGTTGAATAGCCGATATACACCTCTTAGGCCGATGTTATTTACTAATTCAGTCATTACCGCTGTACAGACGTTTAAAAGAGTTGTTTACGTGACATCACAATGAAGCGCCAAACAGCGCGTGCAAAAACAGTCAAAGTTATACAATTGCAGTTGCGTAGCAAGCAAGGGGAATCGTCACCATTTTTCTTTGATAATGAAATAAAATAAAAAGGTTAGTTTTCGTTTTTGTGAAATATGGTATATATTTTCACCCAACATGATATAATGCAACATATACTTTCACTCGCCGTCCCGACTCTTGAAAATATTTGGCATTCTGTCATGTTTCGTGAAAATATATACCATATTTCACATAAAGTTGTGCAAACGCTTGTTTTTACATTTTATAAGGTGTAAAATATGAATACGTGATGCAGTTGTATCTTACCCAGTAGAATCAGTTACACTAACGCATGCTATATGTCTCCCTACATCCGTAACTAACGGTTTCCATGACATTATTGTAAACTTCACTTGCGACCTTTTTGGGTCCTGTTGAGCATTTGATAGTGTGAAGTTTTCTTTTTCGATTCCAAAAGTTGTAAACTCTTCTATAGTACTAAGAAAGAATAAAAAAACAATGTTTCCAGCATTTGTATTATATAATAAATACTGTTAAGAAAAAAGTAAACTTTAATTATCATTAACTTTTCACGAAAGTTTATTCTTGGAAAGCATTCCTTGAAATAGAATCAAATATAACGCTTTTCGAATACAACTTCAGGGGAAAATATGCTTGAAATATATGGTGTGACAAAACATCCTTCTTTTCAGTGGTTTTAACATAAGTTTTCACTTAATCTTAGAAACAAGATGTCGTTCAATGAATCATCAATCAATGATATTTCTATGATATGCACCAATTCAAACATATTTCACTGAGTAGTTTTATTTCAAAATTTCGGTTGATTTTTAGGAGGTTTATCAAAATCGTTAGACACATTGTATGAATATTATAACACGTAGAAATTACAACGAAGGACATGTTGAAGTTGTTAACGATTATAATAGAGCAGTTTTCAATTACACAGATATGACAAAAATGAAAAATTAAATTTTCACGACAATTATTCCAAACAATAAACAAAATATGAACAAAAATTAAAATGTCTAATACTAGTATGTAATCTTCATATGAACCTACAATTCCCAAGGAGTCAATGAAAAGTGTTTAAATGTCGAAAAAAAATTCGAATGTGGAAAAAACAAAAATAAATCAAAATTAGCACTTAGATCGAGAAAAGTTAAACTAACAAATAAAGAATGTTTTTGATGGAAGTTATATTTCAGTTATCATTTAGTTAATATTGAGATTTTACATTCTCTTCTATATATTCCGTTAGGTCTATTTCAATGATGATAACGACGACGACAACAAAAACCAAATAAAAAAACGAACATATAAAATAGGAAACATCAGTTTTATCTGATTTTTATAAGAAAGGAAATTTGTATTCCTTGCAATTGTGAATTAATCCAGACAAAAATTACGATAACGCATAGTTTAATTTTGTATATTGTTATAAAATATCTTTTCAAGACTCGTCACACGGGGACTGTCAGATGAATTAGATAGTAACTGTAAGTTGTTATACTCCGAATAATACTCACGTGTTTTCGGTAGCTTCAGCATAAATCTTTGTTCTCCATTCTGTGTCCGCATACATAATAAAAGGATGGTTTCCACCATATGTCGGGTATACAAAGACTGGAGTTGTTAAATTAGCTAAAATCTGAACAACAAACTGCAACAAAAGTATATATCCTATTGGATATCTGTATATAATAATGTTAACATGTATGTCAAAAGGCAAAGTTGCATCGAGTAGCAAACTAAACTGAACAATTGTTAAAATATTTGTTAGATATATGTCATAAAATTAGTAATTGTTATCGCATGCACAAGAAATGCAAATACATATCATATTGCATTTTGTTTACTTCAGTCTTAATATTTCTGGTATATTCTTATTCTTTTCTTATCATAGCAAATATGCACGTGAATTCGCCGTAAAGATACAAAATGCTGCATACTCTCAAATCACTTTCTTGATCTAGTTCATAATTCATTTTAGGAACCTTCTTGTCAGTCATTGGATTATAGTTATTATTTGATTAATTGTTGTTTATAAGAAATTAACGTGAAAATGTATTATACCTGCACTGCAGTGGTGCTCAGGGAGTATTTTCCAGAAAAAAATGTTCCCTTCCCATATATAATGTCCTTTCTATTATAATCATGGACACTGACAGGAACGGCGATCCATGTATCATCATTGTACCCACTTGCCCGTGAAGCGTTGATGAAAACACTGCAATTCTTAATGATGCAAATTAAAAATCAAAGGGCTGCAAGCTCTGTGGTATTTTGGTATTTTTCTGATCTTTGTAATCTTAATCGTACTGTATCTTTGTATGTATTTTCCTATATAAGGTTATTTTGATATACTACAATTAATCTTGCAAGGCACCGAGTTGCAGTGACTGCGTTAAGGGCAAAGTCAGGCGAAAACTTTTCCGAAAATATTTTCACTTCGCCCTGCTTGATCGGAAAAGAACAGAATAGAACGAAGCATTTATTCACACAAGTATTTTTCAATACAATTTTGAAACATAACAAAAAGTTTATATAACAGAGAATGTAAAGCACCGGTACAAAAAGTATACTAATTTAACAGAGTACACTTCCAATTCAAAAAATAATTTTTTTACTAAATTACTAAATAAGAGAAACCAAATCACAAATATATTCTTGTAACAATGAAATGAAATATCGAGCCGAGATTGGTTTTCTTTACGTCAATGTACACGATTTATTTATTATTCTATATAAATTTGGAAAACAAATATGGAGGTTGCCTCTTGTAATTATTTGAAAATGTATGTTCCAAAAACACACCTGTATGTATGTAAAGCACGACATTTAGTATTAAACATTAGCACAAGGATGTAGTAAATATGCACGTGAATGTCGTGCATAACAGTTATCTATATATATATTAGTAACCAATTGGATTTAACTTACCGGACTTATGTTTAAAAAGACTTTGTTAGTGATCTAAAACGATTTCTAAACTTTACAATTAGATCATATGTACTTGTATTTCTAACAAGCATCTGTTTAATGAAGACAATGACTTCTTTTGTAGATACGTCATTACATACAGAGAAAATATTGAGAAAAAAATAAACATACAATTAAAAATAAAAGAATCAAACAAATGAACAAATAAGTAACATTAAATGAAATAAAATCTTTGTTGCCCGAAAAAACTACAATGTAAAAAGTAATGCTATTCGGTGCCAATTTTATTGTTGTTACACAATGTACAAAGTCTTATATTATAAGGAGTAACATCGTTTTGTCCAATTTCTATTTGAAGTTTATGATTTGCTTTTCTAAATTCGAATAAAGAAATATAACTAGATTGCTCTAAACTTTTGAATTCTTCATAATTATGATCGTCTTCAATAATTAAACCCTATATATGAATCTTGAAGCTACGCTTACCAAGACTGTTTGTATTGGTCTATTAGTGTATAAGTTTAAGTTTATGTATATGCTCGTGATTTGTATGGGTCTTGTTTGCCAAAGATCAGGGCGGCGAACACAATTCAGAATGCCTCTCATCTTAGAAGGGTTCAATTTAAACTCATAATTAGGAAAACTTTGGTCATGTTTTTGTAAAGTTGAAACGATATTTTCTTTCCCATAATGAGACGATTCCAAAATGAGATCATTCTAGTTTTAAAGTAGACCATGGGTAATGGTCACTTAAAGGAACTGTAAAATTGGCAACGTTGGACAGTTATATGCCTCACATGTAAGCAAAATTTAAATAACATCTATCGTGTAGTTTATGAGTTATGGATATATTTTTGAACTAAAACTTTGCTATTAGAAGGGCTTTTTCAGAAATGAGGAAACTCTAAATTATCTATAATATCATCATTATGAAAAATTATTTCTTATTGCTCATTGTTAGAAACAAATAATAACATTAAGATAACAAATTTCACGAGCAAATGATTGTTTCTAAAAAAATGTTACCCTTCTCCACCAACTTTAAACACTTATTTGACCATTTCCCTATATAAAAAGCCTTATTCAAAATATCCCTAAAATTTACCACAATGAGACGCTCTTTTCAAAGTTTGCCTAAATTTTCTTAAATGTATATGAGTTGATCATGCAAAATATACAATACCTTTGTCTTGTATTTTTTTTTATTTTATTAAACCTTGAAAATATCTTGTATAATATTTTGCAATTAAATTTGGCATTATTTAGCAAATAAATACCTACAATAATTATATAATTCAAATCAAACATTTTTTCTTCCATAAGGGATCTTAGAGATACATAAATAATGTAAAAAAGTTGATATTTTGCTCCTTCTGGGGTTTGAACCCACGCCCCTCAATTTCAATGCAGTTGATAATTGATTCTATCCTATTTGAATATTCTTCAAAGTAGAGGTAATGCATTACACATGGTTTACCTTAATTTTAATAGATATTGGATACCGTCCAAGTTCGCCCGTTAGCATGTATAGGGAGGGGGAGATTTACGAGATTTGTTTTTGCGACGGACGCGCCCTCAGGCGCGTTCAGAGCTAAGTCATCTACACATGGGATTTCGTTGGCTACAATCGCGCAATGTGTCCTAAACCAATTAACAGCCCAAGAAATAGTACATGAATTTGATCCTTCAAAACTCCCATACTTTGTCTGGATATCTTAATGTCTTCCATATTTAGCATTTTCAATTTCAAATTAAGTTATCCAAGTTAAGATATGAACGTATATTATTGATAAAAACGTTGTAGTCCCGTAGTATTATTGCGCATTATGCAAATTACTGCTGAAACGATTTACCGCTGTCGAAAAAGTAGGACAGCAAATTATACTACAATTAAGGTGTAACCTCTGAGTTCCAAGACATTATTAGTAGGAAATAAATATTTCTACATTATACAAAACATTATTATTAACAAATCAAAAGTTTTTCGTGACTCTAGGATAACTCGCGCATTAATAAAAGAAGAACTATTTTCGTGACTCATACCGCGGGTTTAGCTGAATATTCAGCAGTTATTAATATATTAGATACAGTACAATGGTTAGTATAAATATCTATTTTTGAAAATGCATGTAAGACACTTTACCGCCATGTAGTCTTTCATGGTAAGGAAGTTATAATATCAGTTCTACTTCCGATTCTTGTGGTTTGTTTACATATTTTACTAGGTCATGATATGAGTTAACCTTCGCTATTCTAAAAATAGATTCTGCTTCACCTGTTCTGATTTTTGGACAGGCGATAAGGAAGTACACATTAGAAATGCTATACAATTGTAAGAAGCAAACAAGTTGAAAATGGAATTTAGTGTGAAGTTGAAAAGGACAACTAAACACTGTAGTGCTTAAGTGACATTTAAATTAAAATAAAAACGATGTGCTCTGGCCTCTACATCTTTACCTTGTAAATAAAAAAAATCTAAGAAATACACTATTAATTGCTGATGATTTTAACCATTTTTTTTAATGAGACATATCCAAGAGAAATAAAAATACAAATGACTTATATTTTATTGTCTGTATGCCCACTATGATATAACACGAAGCAATTCTAAATAGCATTCTCAAATGTATAATGTATTATGTTTGAAGTTTATTTGCCTGGATTTCTTCTAGAAATATTTCGTTGATAGTTTTTTTTCTATTTACATATCATTTCTTAGAATAAATCGATAAGGACACTGATTTACAAGTTTGACCAGAGTTTTTAGGCATAAATTTCATTCTGTATTTAAGTGCTTGAAAGTAGAAAATCTGAATTATATCAATTTGGGACACAAAATATATTGCTCTACAAATCTCGAACTTGTATGGAACAAATTTTCTCTGTTATATATTTTGTGTTTTGTTTTTGTTTTGTTTTTTTTTCTAAAAGAAGCCTTAATGTCTCTCCGGTTGCATGTCCGTCGCATTCAGTGCTGCAGCACTTTGATTTTACTTAGAAATTCATTATGATTTTTTTCTAATATATCTAAATATTACCGATCCATATGTTAAAATACGTAAGCGAGTGTGATCAAATGGTTGAATAATGTGATCTAGCGGTAGATAGTAAGTACATTGCCTTAGATGCTTGTTTCTAGTTTTAAGAATTGATGCTAGAGAATGGAGAATGTCACACCTAAGTAATGGTAAGAATTGGATATCTCAATATTTTTTATCTCCTAAATAAAATCTAAAATTCCCAGTTTATCAATCACTTATAATAACCATTATATTTTCGTTTAAGTTCACATAAAGATGTCAATTATAACAGTCATAATTGAAACAGTTCAATCAAATTTGGAGATCGTCAGCGGAGTTCGATAACAGGATAGTGTCGTTTGCATACAGAAGAAATAGAAGTTTAAGCCATGAAGTAAGATTGTCGTGATCCAACAGTTCCATTATCTGTAAATAAGTTTTGCGGTCATTTCATTACATTGGGGACAAATTTTTACTCTGTCTTACCCCTATTTCGGAAATGAACGACGCTGATACAGCTCAATTATGTGAAATAAATGATTTATTGTTTTTGAACATATTATTTATAACTTTGAAATAATTAAATACCATTTATAGAATTTTGAAACCTGATGTTTAACACTGATGAAAATAAGTTAGATAAGCTCTTCTCGCCCAAACATGTACATAATATTTCACTACTCGACACCCAAATTGATTTGTGTAATTCGCGCTTAAGTGTTGCCAAATAGGCATCTTTGTTTGCGTGGATTTAAATTATCAGATGCTTAACTAATAAGACCGTTACTTATAGTAGAAATTGATTATTCTAAATTCGTCCATGTCCTAGAGTCAACATCCTTACTCTATTTTTCAGAAAGTTTAATTAACAAATGTACATTTAGTCGGCGTTAAATTGCGATCACAATAATCCGAAGTTTTACGGAAATCGCCGAGCAATTTTTATCGATTAAAATCGCGTAACTCAATGGCTTCTTTTAATTTTTGAATGCGTTATAATTCGTTGGATACTTGTAACAATAAATCAATAAATTTCTTTATTTTACATCACACGTTTTAAACTGTTTTAAGAACTACTTTGTGTTGTTAGGTATGTCGGGAAGAGCTGTTCCAGATATTGAATGTCAGCATTGTATTTCCTGATCTACGACCAGAATATACAAAAAAACAACAACAACAAAAAAAAAACAAAAAAAAAAAAAAAACGATTACTAAATTTTCTATTGCTTTTCAAATATTACCTTAACAAATAGTTTATATATTGATTTAATTTGACAGATAAAATATACCATTATTCATTTTTCATATATAATCTTTTAATACATGTTATATTAAAATCATAATATTTTTATAAATCTATCTTCCTATCTAAAACAGTTGGCGAATATTCATTTTTGTTAAAAAATATTGATGTTTATTTAATTCTTCTGCAAAGTTTAAGGGAAGTACAATTTTTCAGCTTATTGAATAAGAAATATTTTATTTATGCTTGTTAAGTCATCTATATATGTAAAATAATTTACCTCCATTACTTGTACGAGTGGAGGCAGGCTTCCTGAGATCCGTCCACCCTCAATACCTTGTGCAATTTCACATTTAATGACATCGTCATCACCATCAACTGCTGGAAGTCTGATTTCGGAAACCTTATCTAGTTTTATCCTTTAATATATAATGACATCATTAATCATATAATCATTATTTACATTCTTTCTTGTAAATGGCTAATAACAGCTTATCAATACATGATACGTTAATATTTGTAGCAGTGATGACAAAATAGTGTGCAGTAGGTTTATGAAACAAACGATGACATTTGCCAATGAGATATTAATTTATATCGTAAATATTTGGTTTAAACATATTTTATTCGATATATTCACATTATGATGAACAATATTTACACAATACATTTGGGATTGGGCAATTGGGAGTGTCCTGTCCCAGTTTAAACAATTTACATATATACAGTTCATGGCATTATCATGCACAAAATTCATTTAGTTGAAAATATATCAAAGACATTTTCAAAAAATATGTATATTGCAATTAATAAATACTTAATATATGGTCATGAGAAAAAAAAGCAAAAGAAAAATGAAACAAAATGGAGGTGAAAAAATAAATTTTTGTCTGGCAAATGTCCAAAAGTACGCTAAAAACTATAATAACAAGAGAGAATGACATGGCTTTAGTAGAAATTTACCGGTAAGGTTGTTCTTTGATTTATGTCAAAGGAAACTAATTATCAAAAAGCTGACATCAATCATTTTGTTTAAGATTCAAATGCCATGTACCATATATAAGTTTCTAAAACTAAATCTTATTAAATATTAGTGCATTAGTCAGAGAAGGATTGTCACCGTGACATCTGATCTTATGACCTCAATATAGACGTAAGACATTTTCTATAGCCTTGAAAAGTGTCCCTACTAAGCTAATAAACTTAATCATAAATCATATCAGGTTATTGATTGGACAAGGACTTACAACAAGTATAATTTCGGACTGATCAATCTCTGATCTTATGACCTCAATATCTACAGTAAGCTAAATAACATTAAATGCGGCTTGTACTTTTTCTTATCATTGATCGCAAAAGGAACAATGAATGCACGAAAGTACGGGGAAACGCACGTATGGGTGGATAAGGACCACTTTATCATTTTTATGTTCCCATATTTTCAGTGTAACCATTTATACATATAACTTTTACGCTGGAGAAAACTGTGCCTGAAGTAAATATGAAATAGTTGTATGCTTTGCTGACATGTTTTACTTATCTGTAGTAAATGTCATCAATTAACAAAAAAGACTTATCTTACTGTCAACCGGCAGTGATGTGTACAATCCACCATGTATAAGCCAAAATTTGAAATATATTTGCAATAATGATGGACATGTTGATTTGAGTTCCTGATCAAGTTAAATACTTTTATCAATAACTTATTTTGATAAAAGTAATATTGGAATGTATTTAACAACTAGGACACACATTTAGCACAACTTTCTACCTGTAGAACGGCTTTGATAGAGATTTCGGACTTTGATTTGTTGTATTTGTATCACTTCTAACAGATGAAACAACTTTTGTTTGGAAATGCCACTCAACATTTTGGTTATTGAACTGTAACGAAAGCTCCCTCCAAGAAAATCCTGTGAAACTGAAAATTCAATTACATAGACAGTTATTTGATAATTCACTATCATTTTGAGGGAAACAAAATAACACAAGATTTCAGATATTTTTAGTATACGAACATGTAATGTTGAAATATAAATGCATGTATAATTGTTTCACAATAATTTTAATTTCATGAGAAAATCATTTTTAATATATATGTATTTAACTTTTAAGCTTTACATTGATACCACAGTCATAAAAAAAATTACTTTGATACTGATTGGTAGAAGATCTGAATAAACCTTTAAAATGCGATGCTTTATAACATGTCATTATGTTCTTGGCATTAGTTGAAAAGATGTCTTTTACGCCAAAAATGTACTTATAATGAACATGATGAAATGTCGTTTTTTAAGTTTCATATCTTGGTCCAAGACTAGTTACTTCCTACAGAAGAAGCACAACATGATTTTCGACCAAAATCACTTACGTCTAAAGAGATGTTTGCTTGTTTGAAAGAGAAATTGTTTCTTATTAAAATAAACTGTAAGGCTAATAGCTGGTATGGTTTCATTTTCCAAACGCTTAGCTCCATGACGACTGATCTCGGACATTGAGTCTAAACCGCTCATTTATAAATTAAGTTGGAATAGTAGTCGGACACTTTCAGAGAAGTTGGTAATTATTGGTTATTGAACCAGGGAGAACCCCGGATGTATTAACAGCTGAATTGAAATTGGTTAGGCGTAAAAACAGAAATTAAACACACAAACAACTTTATATTAAGAATAAAAAAAAAAAGATTTATCTCCTAGGGCAGGGCAAAATTCTACCCAAAAATTATAATTGGAACAATATTAAAGGAGGTTTACTAGACAATGTTTAAGGCTAAACAACTGAGCTCTAGCCCTTGTAGTTTTGTTTTTATAAACTATATTTCTATACTATTATATATACATAGAAAACATATAACCGTTAGGGTGGGCCAATTTGACCCAAGAGCTATAATTTGAACATTTTTGGCGAAGGTCAATAAGACAATGCCTTGTACAGAATATCTATACTCTAGGCCTTTATGTTCTTGATGAGAAAGTTAAAAATAAAATCTTTCTATTATTCCCTTTGGTTGCCGTGACAACATGGCAATCAGATTTTTGCATGGGAACAAGTTTGGTAGCGCTTCACCCAAGAAACAATCCTGACAAATTTTTTGAAATCGGACTTGTATCTTTTTAAAGAGAAGATTTTTAAGGTTACAATTCAAAACATACACACACACACATACACGCACGCACGCACGCCCGCACACACGCACACACGAAATAACAATAAAACTACTAAATTCCATAAATTTTAAATTGATGACCTTCGCAAAATTGGAAAGTTCGGAAGCCTCATAAATATTTTAATAAGAATGCTACCATTTGCTTTATATTATACACATTTATAAGTACACTGAAAACGGATTTGGGTTAGCCTTATTTTTGAGCACCGTGGTCAAGAATCTTTATACTCATTGCTTAGAAATGGTTGGTTCCACGAACGGATACAAGAGTGTTTCAATAAGCTTATCGGTTCAAACAATCAAACTAACATAAATTCGTATAAACTAAAATGGTCCGTAGAATTTAAACGCGGACGAGACACCAGATGGCCCTGATGATGTCATCAGCCACAAGATCGTTGATCGTGTTAAGAGATTTATGGTAAATCAACGCCGATTCAATGTTGTCGCACTTGCTTCAGAATGTGATATTTCAAATGAAAGTGTTTACACTTTAATCCATGAACCTTTAAGCCTGTCAGTAGTATATCTACCTGGAAGATACTAAGAAACCTGAACATGCAAGATCATCAGCAAAGTGTAGAGGGTTAGGGTTAGCTAGCTGACGACAATATGTAAAATAATGTGACGGTATATAGTTCGATTTTGAATTCATAGTGATTTAACCAATAAGTTTTGAACGACGTATAAAAAGAAAAAATATACATAGATCTATTTATGCATGTATGTATGTATGTATGTTTGTATGTATGTATGTATGTATGTATGTATGTATGTATGTATGTATGTATGTATGTATGTATGTATGTATGTATGTATGTATGTATGTATGTATGTATGTATGTATGTATGTATGTATGTATGTATGTATGTATGTATGTATGTATGTATGTATGTATGTATGTATGTATGTATGTATGTATGTATGTATGTATGTATGTATGTATGTATGTATGTATGTATGTATGTATGTATGTATGTATGTATGTATGTATGTATGTATGTATGTATGTATGTATGTATGTATGTATGTATGTATGTATGTATGTATGTATGTATGTATGTATGTATGTATGTATGTATGTATGTATGTATGTATATGCATGTATGTATGTATGTATGTATGTATGTATGTATGTATCGTCACCTTAGTGCAAAAACTCAATAATTGCATATAGATAAAGAAGCAGATATTGAGTTCTTGCACTAAGGTGACGGTATGTATGTATGTATATATGTATGTATGTATATGCATGTATGTATGTATGTATGTATGTATGTATGTATGTATGTATGTATGTATGTATGTATGTATGTATGTATGTATGTATGTATGTATGTATGTATGTATGTATGTATATGCATGCATGCATGCATGTTTGTATGTATGTATGTATGTATGTATGTATGTATGTATGTATGTATGTATGTACGCATGCATGCATGCATAACTTAACTTATTGTATTTCTTTTTGTAATACCCAATTTGGAATGTCATTTTTAAAACATGGTGATAATGAATAATACATATTTTTAAAGTTGAATATATATTTACTATTTTTTTGGACGATGAGTTATAATGTAATGATATGTTTCCCTGGCAACAATGACAACTGATCGAAATTTTAATGTATTTGCTATCATTAATTTTCTTTTTGTAGGTATTTCAGAGAAAACAAGTGAGTCAAGCCTTAAAAAACAATAAACTGAAAAAATAATTAATTATCACGAATATACGTAATTTCAGTGATGTTAAATTAGCTGAATATACCCACCCTTTTTTAATAATAGACCAAAGAAGAAGTGTTCATAAACATTGGAATTGATATCAATGCAAAGAGTTAAAGTTGTAGTTCTTCACAAAAGTACAAAATTGTAATAAGCATTGAAATTATTTTGTCATGGAAATAAAAATTCGAAATCAAATTAAATTATTTAGACAGTTTAGTTTTTGCACTTTTTGTCATGATATTCTTTCAAGAATATTATATTTCTCCAATAGAAATTCTTGACAAAACGACCAAATAATAATAAATGTTTTTGCAGAATATTTATTGACGGTCATCATGGACGCCATTTTGATTGTTTTAATTTCAGACCTTTTGGGTTGAAACGAAATTTCGTTTCTAATTCTGCGAACCCTTGCAAATATTTTGGGCATTTTACAGTACGATTTTTTCCATAACAACGGTATTGCATTTTGCACATGCGCATTCTGCGTAGTGCAAAGCGAAATGACTATATCTATTTGAGCGTACTTAAAGGCTATAAAAGACGTGATTTCACGTTATATCACCCAGAAAAAAGAAATTTTGGGATGATTTGAAGCGGTAATTACTTAAAACGTGAATGGATTTTATAACAGCTATACAGAATTACTGTGCCGCTATGATAATGTGAGTGATGTTTAATTTTTCTGTACACAAAAGTTAACAATTTATGTCTGAATAGGTAAAACAGAGTTTTCAGAAGCCAATATAGTACAAGATAAAAAGTAGAATCTTAAATGTCTTAATGGCAAAGATGATAAAGTCATTGGGATGCAACGGAAATATTTTTACGAGTTCGAACCTCACAAGTTGTCTAACTACAGTCGCCCTTAACTGACAACATTACCTACCCCATTACGCTGACATATGATTAATTTGTCGATATTTTATTTCATATCGCAAGCCTGCTTGCCTAAAGATAATATAACACAGTATGATAAATGTTTTACACCGAAAAATTGGACTTAACCGCCGCGTTACTAGATAATTATTCTAAACGTAGAGTCTAGTAGCGGGACTAATAATTCAACGACCAAAAGTCCGCTGTTCAAGGTATCATTAGAGGACGTTTTCCTTTTTCTTATTTAAATTATAAAAAGCAGGGTGTTAAAGATAAATTTTATTACCCATGTATTACATAATATTACACAATTGGTATTCCTTTAAAAGTGAATTGGCAAGGAGGTAATTTTAAAACAGATTGACACGTGACCGGTTGTTATTTGCCGGATAGTTTACAATATTCAACGTTCAGGACGTTTTAGTACCATGACATAGTTAATCATTTAAAGTTATGAAAATCGCAATTTAAGTAACTTTAATTTATACCAATCTCATCAATGTTTATTAATTTGTGAAGTGGCAATTAGTGTGACGTGCAATAACATGAACAGAACAGAACAGAACAGAAATTTTATTTCGTAACGTATACAATATATACAGTATCTTGTTACATTACACAAGATAAACGCATGAAATAATTCAAAGATTTACAGTATATTGGAGAATGAACATATATTGCCGGAAAAAATTGATTTTGTATAAAATAAATGTATATCAGAATAATCTCATTTTAATATAAACATTACTAGCGAAATCAATACGTTTACAATATCTATGAAAATAATAACAACATTTTAACATTACATTTATGTATAACCTAAGCTTATCAACATATCTTTTCTTTTACTATTTGCAAAATAAATAAATTTACATAAATTTAATAATATTGACTTTCACATGACTGAAGTAATTATATGAATTTAAACATGCTAGGTTTTTTATAATAATATCTTTTAATGAATTTAGTGCGTATTTCCTGGTACAAATTACAAACAAGTATAAAATGAAATTCGTCTTCAATATATTGTGTATTACAAAGTTGACATATGCACTCATGTCTTTCAAGTCTGTTTCTACCATATCTACCAGATTCTGTTCTTAAATTATGCGCAGTTATTCTGAGACGGGTTAATTGTTGTCTTGATTTCATACACTTAATTTTATCTAAATAGCATTCCATAGAAAAATTATCCTTGATATGTCTATACAATGTTTTTAAAACGTTATTATTAACAATACAACGATTTAATGTATTTATATACACACATTTAACAATGATATTGCTTGAATGTATCACTTTAAACCAATATTTTATTATGTGAACATATCTATTAACATAAAGTGGATATCTTCCTAGCTCACCATAAATTGCTGCATTACAAGAGCTTATTTTCACACCAAGAATTAACTTGTAAAATTTAAGTGTAATCTCTCTATATCTTTAGATTTTGTAAATCCCCCCCCCACACAAAAAAAAAAAACAAGTGCTACCGGGAGCCGGATAATTCACCACCCATCTTACTTCTTAATAGTTTGAAAAATTATTTAAATATACGTATATGTGACTTAAAAGAATATGTTTGACATCACAGTCAAGTCGGTTAAAGGATAAAATTAAACTGAAAACTAAAAATGCATTATCATGCCTTCCGACTTTTTTTCAGAATGATAATTAATCTTGATTTTATGTTATAAAAATTCTTTAGCTTTTATATGGACAATTTTTCAACAACAAATAAACTGACTTCTTTATTTGCTAATATATATTTCCACATATTTACAACAATTTTCTGAATGTCAGGTCCGTGATCGTAAGGGGGAATTCTTAAAGAATAATATTTTCCATGCATTTTAATGGCAATCTTGGCCACAAAGCTAATATGAATTTAGGCAAAGCCTTTGAACGGGAAGTCGGTTGAAAAATCGTTCATTTTTCCGTTTAAAAGGTGTCATTCGATATTTCGTTTTCACACGGAATACTCGACGATTATTATTAATCCGAAAAGTTGCGATTGATCGTTAAATGAATACCCCGGCTATTATATTTGATTTACATTGAAAAGTGCGGCCACCGACTAGAACAGGCAATGAAAATTCATTGATAGGTAAAGAATTCTATGTTTTCTTTTATTGTTTTTATTTGATTTTCTTTTAGCTATCCACGTGTAGTCTATAGCCGGACAAGCCAAAGCCCGGGCCTGCTTCGCGACCCCGGCCTTTGACTTCCCGTTATAAAGTCTTCTTTTGTGTTTCTGTTAAAGGGCATTTTAAATGATTTTCTATTTTTTACCTTAAACTAACTCAAAATTGTCAAGATCTTCAACTACATTTCTATGTAAGGCGTTGCTCTTTTTGCCCTACGCAAATTGTGCATGCGCGAAAATATAATACTTTCGGTCATTTTTCATAGCAATGAACTGCGTCGTAAAACGGTCTATAAAGATTAATATTCCCAGATGTAGACTAGTTGACCCTCAAAATAGGCAAGACTTACATGTGCATTTTCTACACAACTACCTGTTCATGTTTTCTATTCAAATAAATTTCACTCGCAAACGAGGACGATGAATATGTTTTTCGAAAATAACCGGAAGCAATTGCTAGTCGTACAATACGACACTCTAGCTGATAGCTGCAAGTATATACTGAAAGGACAAGAACCGCATTTTATATTTCCTATAGCTGTTTCGTTATGGATGGATATATGGTAAGATAAACCGTAGCTAGACAAGGGAAATACGGATTAATTGATATATGTTATAATTATATTTTACATTTATTTTATATGTAGCGTGTAAGGCTTGTTTATCGTTTCACACACAGCACATTGATTATGTATATCAACAATACTAGTGTTAAAATGTGGTGGTGTTAGTATGAATGCGATATATCAAAATTATCGTTACGTTAACATTATTTTCTCAAAATGTTTGCGGTGTCCGATAGACGACGATGCATAAACGCACCAGCGCATCGCAAGTTTCTTTTAACACGACCTATATGCCCTTCTAGGTTGCCCTGGCCGTCAGAAAACAAATATCTTTATTTTCCTGTTCACTGGATATTCCCTTTCAGTTAAATCAATTATCTTCAGCTTTAGTTTTTATATTTTCAAGAGAGAATGGCAGAACTAAATGATTTGCCGTTGTTCTGACAACGACATTGAAACACTGATAACAACGCAAAATGAATGTTGTTGTTTTTAAATGTCGCAACATTGAGATTACGTCAAACTTTGAAATAATAAAAACAGCATATCAACCTATGATTTGGCTTCGTTTGGCGCTAGTTCAGATTTGTATTTTCCTTAAATTGAGACCAATATAACTAAACATGTGTCACAAACGTGATAACATGGTTATAAAATCGCGCTTGCAATTTTAACTTAATGTATTACTTTTCTATTTTATCTTATAACGTTAATGTTCCTGTTATTTCAATATATAGTTTACTAAATTTAAACCAGCTGTGTCTCAGCAACAGCAAATGTCTACTTTATATTTGATCATCCCCCGCATGAAGATACGCACGGACAAATGATTTATTTTTTACCAGTTTCATGCTATAAGATAATTTCTATCAACATAACTATTCTTTTACTTACACGATATCCATTTCGTTTTTTTCTTTCTCCATAATAACGCTGAAGTGCATTATTTCCTGTTCCCATTTTCCCGTTTCACTGATTGCGATTACAGATTCTTCGCATGTTGATTTTACTCTTGTATCTATAGGAATCGTCTGTAGTAAATGGCTTGACACTCTATATTCCTTAATGAATTTACCAAGGTAATATGGATCTGTTGAAACTATTTTTTGTCTGGTTAAACTAGTAGATCTTCCAATATCAGATTTATTACACCCTGAACCACATGGGCCTTTTCCAAGCACCCAACCAGTTATTAGTTCAATGGTTACCTGGTTATAATAAAAGTCCGTTGCATATTATACCCATAGGGAGTAAACATAATTGTTACATTAATTGTTAGCTGTCCGGAAACGCATATTTGCAGTAATGAATTATGGGTTAATAAAGATTAAAGCGTAAAGGGGTTCACTATTTAAAGTAAGCCAAATATTACATTATTTAGTGTGGTTTCACTCTGGTTAAATTATGCTAAATATGCAGTTGACATTAATTCATATTGCTTTACGTATTTGTTTAAGAATTGTGAAATTATTAAAAACATTGATTAAACAATTGTTTTATAGAATAATATGTTTTACTAAATAAATACATATCTATGACGTTTAAACTTGATATTGTGTTGACTTATTCATATTGAATGATCTGGGCGTTACACTACACTTACACGAATTTCATATTCTTTTTATCACATACCCAAAATAAAGACCGTTTAAAGTGAAATAAATGTCATTTTTCATTGACGCGCCTATAGTATAACGCTAACATTTAGCGCGTCTTTACACTATGTTTGTATAAAGCTTATGACATCACGTCAAAATATATAGACGGCCGTGCAATACCATATTTACGGAGTCGCAAAATCGGCACGGGTGTGTGATACATTTGTTAAGTTCAGTGTTAGATCGAAATATATTTCACCGAGTGAGCACCAAAAGGTATATTTCACGAGTGACGCAGCCACGAGTGAATTATGAACTTTTGGTGTTCACGAGGTGAAATATATTTCGATCTTACATTATACTAAACAAATTTTCTTTTTATTACATGCATTATATGCAAAGAAACGTATAAAAAGACATTTAAACCTAGTACTTAATGAAAAGGGCGCCAAATAATAATACAACGTGACGTCATTTGCGACGTCACGTCATTAAGTTGGTTTCCAGTACGGTGAACGCTTGTATTTCACTGAAACAATGTACTGGGCTCAAATATTAAAAAACAGTGAAATTATCAAATTGATAATTGCACTGTTTAATACGGTGAATTATCATTTTTTATTTCACTGATATATTTCTCTTAACCACCGAAAAGCATGTAATAAATAAAGGATATTGAATGAGTGTAGGTTTAATACTAAATTTATTGAACGAGTTGACTTTAACGCTATGTTTTATAGCACAATTGACGTCACGTCAAAGTATCACTTTGTTTCCAGATTTTTATTACACTAAATTTGAACCAAATTCGGACCAAATTTGAATATTCCATTTTTAGCTCACCTGAGCACAAAGTGCTCAAGGGTGAGCTTTTGTCATCACCCTGCGTCCGTCGTGCGTCCGTGCGTCGTGCGTCCTTCAAAAAATGGCGTCAAAGTTTTCAAACAACATCTCCTTCTTAACCACATGGCCAATTGCAACCAAACTTTACAGAAATGATCCTTAGGTGGACTCCTGTCAAAGTTGTTCAAAAATTTAAATTCCATTAAAAACTCTGGTTGTCATGGCAACCAATAGGAAAAACCTAAAAAATCTTCTTTTAAAAAACCCAAAGAGCTAGAGCTTAGATATTTGGCATGAAAGATCTTCTAATGAATGTCTACCAAGTTTGTTCAAATCAAAGCCCTGGGGTCAAAATTAGCCCCGCCCCAGGGGGTCATTGATTTTCCCTATATGCATATAGTAAAAACTTAAAAAATCTTTTAAAGAACTCAAAGAGCTAGAGCTAAGATATTTAGCATGAAACATGTTCTAATGGGTGTCTACCAAGTTTGTTCAAATAAAAGTTCTAGGGTCAAAATTGGCCCCGCCCCTGGGGTCATAGATTTTCCTCATATGTGTATAGTAAAAACTTAAAAAATCTTCTTTGAAAAAACCCAAATAGCTGGAGTTTAGATATTAAGCATGAAACATCTTCTAGTGAGTGTCTACAAAGTTTGTTCAAATAAAATCCCTGGGGTCAAAATTGGCCCCGCCCCCGGGTGTCATTGATTTTCCTTATATGTGTATAGAAAAAACTTAAACATCTTCTTTGAAAAAACCCAAATAGCTGGAGTTTAGATATTAAGCATGAAACATCTTCTAGTGAGTGTCTACAAAGTTTGTTCAAATAAAAGCCCTGGGGTCAAAACTGGCCCCGCCCCAGGGGTGTCATTGTTTTTAACTATATGTGTATAGTAAAAACTTAAAAAACTCAATGAGCTAGAGCTTAGATGTTTAGCATGAAACATCTTGTGATTGGTGTCTACCAAGTTTGTTCAAATAAAAGCCCCTGGATTAAAATTGGCCCTGATGGTGGGGGGGGGGGGGGGGGGGGGGGGGGGGGAGGTAGATCATTGTTTTTCACTATATGTGTGTAGTAAAAACATCTTCTAATGGGTGTCTTCTAAGTTTGTTCAAATAAAAGCCCTGGGGTTTAAACTGGCCCCGCTCCGGGTGCCTTTATACAGGTGAGCGACCTCAGGGCCATCATGGCCCTCTTGTTTATTAAATATAATAGTAAAATCATTTAATTTAATGTCATGTTAATCCTGACGTCATGGACGTCAATATCTCTAGGCATGTTTTTCATTTTTTCCCATAAAGTCAGTAATGTGGTCAAAATATCAAAATTTTATTTAATTTTACCCATGAAATATGGTGCTTTATCAGTCAAATATATTTCATATTTTTTAAAAGTAAATATGAAATATAAATATGAAAGTGGGCGGAGTCAAAACTCAAATTTATTTTAAGGGACTTCTTTTGTTTGAAAAATCTGATAAATACAAAAAACTTTTTGTTAATTTTTGTTTTGAAAACTATCTAGAATGATAGAAAATGGTCTAACTAAGAAAATAAATCCGTACACCAATATCTTTAATTCAGTCATTAACGCTGTACAGACATTTAAAGAGTTGTTTACGTGACGACACAATGTAGCGCTAAATATCGCGTGCAAAACAATAATTATATTACTGCGCGCTGTACAATTGCAGTTGCGTAGCAAGCAAGGGGGTTCGTAACCATTTTTCTTTGATAATGAAATTAAATAAAAAGGTTATTTTTTCGTTTTTCGTGAAATATCATATATATTTTCACTCAAGATGATAATATGCCACATATTTTCACTCGCCATCACGGCTCGTGAAAATATGTGGCATTTTATCATCTTGAGTGAAAATATATTCCATATTTCACTCAAACGAAAAAATATCCTCTTATTATTTTATGCTTTTCAGTGGATTACTGATTTATCCGTGAAAATTATATTTGATAATTTCACAGTGAAAATTATCAAAATATAATTTCACACTTTTCAATGACGAAACTACTTTTTTAAGATTTTCCCCATGTGGTACCTCAATTTTATTTTTGCTTACAATTCTGACAATGTCAGGCTGTTTAAAAAAAAGCAAAGCTGAAATTGATAAATAACTTAAATGTCAAAAGTAATAAAAAGAAGAAAACTTACTTCTATTCATTCAAATTCCAATCACCAAATTTCGTCTCTAAAATTTTTCGTTTCATTTTTACAGTCTGAAAAATACATTCCTTCCACATGCAAAACTGCTCTTGTTGACATTTGGGCATATTAAAGTATCCTTCAAGCAATAACTGCCGTATGCTTTATAAAACATTGGAAAGCAATGACAGCCATCCTCGTAGAATAAGTAAAACAACCCAGCGTTTCCTGAGCCAGCTTCCAAGTTTCCATTTCCATAGCTGATTTATTGAATGTTTTCACATCTGTCAACACTTATTTTTTGTCTGTTACAATCCTCAAATAAGTTTTCTTTCTTTTAAAAAGGTGTATGACTAAAAAATCCAAATGATATCCCTCTGAATCTAAACACAATTATTTTCCTCCCGTGAAATACACAACTTTAAAAAATGGCTGCCGCTTACATTTTATCAAAGCCAGGTCTAATATAAATTCGCACTAAGTAACAGAAATATGGATGGATGGTTGGACTTTTTCTCCTATAAGAATTGTTTGTTTTTATTATTAAAACAAGAGATCATTCAAACTTTTTTAATAAAATGAATAATATCACCGCAATATAACTTTGATTGTCGGACTTATTTTTCAGCTCAAGACTTCTTGTTTTTAATGAGAAATTCCGACTTAATGGGGCTCTCAATGGGGAAAACAGATTTTAATATTAACGTTAATATTATGGAAATTTTGTTTTAACTTGATTTTAAGCATAAAATAAAAAGAAAATGTGTTTGATTGTTGTGTAAGATGTAATTTTATTTCATCTCGTGAGAATACTGTTTTTTAAAGCCCACTCGATGAAATAAATTTTCATCTTACACACAAACAAACAAATATCCTCTATATATTTTTCCCCGTTGACTTACGTTGTAACCTGAAGTGACGTCCATTTCAAAATGGCGGCGCCGCCCATACAGACGTCATTTAAGGTTCGTCTCACAATTAGCGTGAAATTTACTCGGAAATTATAAAAAAAAGATTATTCTTATTTACTTACTGATCAAAAGCTAAATGTTATCATAAAAAAATGAGAACAAAGTTGATGTCAAAAAGACAATTTTACTAGCAAACAATTATTTAAAATAATCAAAATCATTTGAAGTGAAATACGTATCAGTAACCGCTTTATAAATTATAAGATACAAAGATTTATATAATTATATAATTACTATGATATACTGTCGTATTTTATATTCTTTAAGAGGAAAAGAGCAATATTATGAAGTGATTTGATAAGATAGCTTTTCAATCAAGCGCGTATGTTGAATACCGCAACGCATCGTAAGGGAACGGGAACACTTGCTAGAAGACTAAAACATGTTTCTTCGCTAATTAATGTTTAATTTCCATAATTCTGTAGTTGTCTGAATTTTATCCATTAGTATGTATCACGTCTATTTAAAAAAATTAACCAGGTCCGATGGGATACAAAAATATGTTACCCTTCTTATTTCGGGTACGATGTTCGTGCGCTAAAACCTTTCGGAGGTTTGAACTTTCACAACAGAAACCTGCCGTTAGAAATTGCCAACAAATATTACATTATAATCCAAATCTAGAAAGTGGAACT